TTTGTCATACTATGGTCCAGCATGAGCAGGGGTCCTCAAACTAAGGCCCGAGGGCCGGATATGGCCCTCCAAGGTCATTTACCCGGCCCTCGCTCAGGGTCAACCTAAGTGTGAAATGACTTGAAAGCACACAACAACAACAATCCTATCACATCAGCCAAAAGCAGGCCCATACTTCCCATTGAAATACTAATGAGTTTATATTTGTTAAAATTGTTCTTCATTTTAATTATTGTATTATTTTAAGTGTTTTTGGACTACGAAAAAGATATGTGCAGTGTGCATAGGAATTCATTCATGTTTTTTTTTTTAAAAAAATTATAATCCAGCCCTCCAACAGTTTGAGGGACTGTGACCTGGCCCTCTGTTTAAAAAGTTTGAGGACCCCTGAGCATGAGGCTTCCTTGATGTACCTACTAGAGCTAACATATCATGTTGATCTGTTGCTTTTTCTGATAGTCCATACTGTATGCGATCCTTGTCTAAAAGATCTTGCTCATATTGATTATAACTATGACCCATATACACACTTGCAGGAATATTGGGTAAGGGTGCAGACTGTACCACCTATGATTGCAGGCATTTTTAATGATCCCGTAAACACATAGAACCACAGAGTTGGAAGAGACCTCATGGGCCATCCAGTGCAACCACCTGCTAAGAAGCAGGAAAATAGCATTCAAATCACCCCTGACAGATGGCCATCCAACCTTTGCTTATAAGCCTCCAAAGAAGGAGACAGCTCTTTTCAGAGACAGCTCCTTTCAGGTAGAAGATTGGTAAAGCAGAAAGTAAATAGAATGAGCAACAACAACAACAACAACAATACTTTATTTATACCCCGCCACCATCTCCCCAAGGGACTCGGAGCGGTTTACATGAGGCCAAGCCTGACAACACATCAATAAAACAGAAAAGCAATAAACAAAAAACAATACAATTAATATAAATCACATATAAACAATAACACACAAGGATTTAAAAACCTATGGCTGGGCAGGAACAGAGGTAGGATATATCTGGTAGGACGGTTTTAAAAGAAATGAAGGGAGAGCAATCCAATGAGTAGTTAAAGTGCTTCTGAGGACATTTTGCTGGGAATTATTTCCTTATTCAGGGAAGGCACATTGGAACAGCCACGTTTTCAGGCTCTTTCTAAAGACTGCCAATGTGGGGGCTTGCCTGATATCCTTAGGAAATGAGTTCCAGAGTCGGGGGGCCACCACCGAGAAGGCCCTCTCTCTCATCCCCACCAATCGCGCCTGCGAAGGGGGTGGGAGCGAGAGCAGGGCCTCTCCAGAGCAGGCATGTAGCCGGGGGGGGGGGGGGGGGGGGGGGGGGGGCTTGAGGGGCTTCAGCTCCCCCCCCTGAAGTTCTCATGGTGGTTCACAAAAAGGCCTTACTAGTGCATTATTTAAACTGTTATGTGTATTCATATCATGATCTGATCACCCTACTCAATATATCCCATATGCATGGGGGTATTGGGGTAACGATACAAAAGGTTTGCTAGGGTAGACCCTCTTTCACTCAGACTCAGCCCCCCCCTCCCCCCGAATCGAAATCCTGGCTACGGGCCTGCTCCAGAGGATCGAAGAGATCGTGTGGGTTCGTACACAGAAATGCGTTCACGCAGTTCAACAAGATAACTAGCTAGAACTGTTTGCCCTGAAACCCTTAGTTATCTTGTTGAACTTGTGGAGAGTCTCTCTGGGAAGGAAAACATGCAAAATGATACACACCCTTGTCACCTGTAAGCTACCAAGATGTGTACATTGAGAAAGTTGTTGTCGACTGATGGTGTCCCTCTCCATTACACTCTTGTCTTCCAACAGCCCTGCTCAGCGTTTGTAGACCTAGAGATTTAACCCATGTGTTTTTTGCAGAGCAGACACAGCCTTGGAGGGAGAAGGTTTTGCTAAATCTTCGATTTCTTGTAGAGCCCCGGAGCCATCCTTCTTCCTCCCCGCTTCCCCGCCTCTCCAGCCCTTCTGTCTGCCTCTCTGTCCTACAGCTGCCGAGCCAGACGGGATTCCCTAAAAGGCACTCTTGCTGACCAGCCTTCATGATTTTCAACACACAGTTTGGAATGTTTACCCAACATTATTCCCAAAGTTTCCCCGGCAACGGCAGGAAATATTTACTGTCCTTTTGCCGAGCGAGCCTCCTTCACCGGAGACAAAAGGCTCTTGGCCAGGTGCCTCGTGTTCCGGGCGCCCGCATCCGCCCGCATAGCTGAACTCGGAGAGACGGAGGGAGCGCCAAGGCCTTTCAAGTGGTCTGCGGCCTCCCTCTCCCTTTTGTTCTTGTCTGGCCAGAGGCAAGGAACTGTTCCCTGACCACCAGGTTCTGAACTTGCCTTGCTTTGATCATGGGTGAATGGTGGGTTTCTTTTGTTGTTACTGTTGTTGTTTGGTCTGGCAAGGCAGTGCGGCTGATTGGTTAAATCTGCTTGTTTAGCCCTGGAGGGATCTTTTGAATGGTAAAGAAGCATGATGGGAATTTTTTAAAAAAGGTTTCAAGTCCTCTACCATTTTGCCAAATATACCCCCAGAAATGGAAACTAGACCTGCCTGTTCTGTTTCAAAATTCAAAGGTTGCCACCCCATGGTTGTTCTCCTGAGATGTACAATCCTGTCTACATGATCAAGGGAATCCTGGGTTATTACTGATCTTGTGGGACCTTTGATTTAGCAGTGATTGATCTAGCAGTTTCCTTCTGAGAGGATGTAATTCCTCCCTCTATAGCAGTGGTTCTCAACCTGTGGGTCCCCAGATGTTTTGGTCTTCAACTCCCAGAAATCTGAACAGCTGGTAAACTGGCTGGGATTTCTGGGAGTTGTAGGCCAAAACACCTGGGGACCCACAGGTGGGGAATCCATGCCTGCTTCTGTTGGAAATTCACCAGCATGGAATGACATGTACTGATGCACAAGTGGTTCCTTCTTTCCTGTAATAAAAAGTTATTCATTAAAGGAAGAATATCTAGCTTATTTCTCATTTTTTCCTCTTGTATGCACACACACACACACACACACACACACACACACACACACACACACACACACACGGGGTTTAAAATAGCTAAATTGAATGCTTGGTGGTTCTCAGCCTGTGGGTCCCCAGATGTTTTGGCTTTCAACTCCCAGAAAGCCTAACAGCTGGTAAACTGGCTGGGACTTCTGGGAGTTGTAGGCCAAAACAGGGGACCCATAGTTTGAGAACCACAGGTTGAGAACCCATTCCTTCTGCTCCTGTTGGAAATTCACCAGCACAGAATGCCATGTACTGATGCACAAGTGGTTCCTTCTTGTCTGTAATGAAAAGTTATTCATTTAAAGGAAGAATATCTAGCTTACTTCTCATTTCTTCCCTGTGTACACACACACACACACACACTTGGGGTTTAGAATAGCTAAATTGAATGCTTGGTAGTTCTCAGCCTGTGGTAAACTGGCTTGGACTTCTGAGAGTTGTAGGCCGAAACACCTGGGGATCCACAGGTTGAGAACCACTGGTATAGGGATTTCCAGTTGGGATTTCCAGACCTACCCATATTCCTTGTTTGCTTCTGACTCAAGTCATGCTGTGCGAGCATGTAAATTTGAAAGAAGAAGTGGAGCTGAATAGTTGTTCCAGGGTGTGTGTATATGTGCCTTCAAGTCACCTGTCAGCATATGGTGACAGGCGACTTGAATTTCACAAGGTTTTCTTAGGCAAGATAATATTCAGAGTTGGCTTGCCATTACGTTCCTCTGAAATATATCCTACAGCACACAGTAGGTGAAATCAGCCTTCTAAATAGGTGTGAATAAATTAATCCCCTATGGAAAAGATTACTAACATGTTGAGGGCGAGCAGAGGAGAGTGGAAAAGCAGTGCCCCATCCTTCAACAGCTTTGTGTCTAGATTTACGTTGGAGAGGAGGGCTTCCTTCTTTCTGCAGCCTCCTTGGTTTCTGTGGGGTGGCACAGAGGAAGGGTGGAGTGGCCCATGCCTCCTGCTCCTGTTGGAAATTCACCGGCATGGAATGGCATGTACTGACGCACAAGTAGTTCCAACAATTATTAGGAGCAGAAGCATGATGATGGTGGTGGTGGTGATATTTTATTCATAGTCCACCACCATCTCCCAGAGGGACTCGGGGCGGCTCACAAAACACTCAAGGTGTGACATGCAAAATACAACAAGTGCAAAACAAAGCACACGAGTAGCCCAAAATCAACACAACATCATACAATCAACACAACATCATACATTCACAGTACCCCCTAGTAAAAACAATAAAATACAGCAATTGGTGTAGATAAAACAACAGCTTAGAGAATCTCTGAATATGTTCTCCATAAGCCCTGTGGTATTGAGATAGGCTTGGGTGAACTACATAGTGCAGATCAGAGGTTGTTTCTGCCATTTGTGTTTGGTTTTGGGGGGGGCTCTCTGAATTTTGTTTTTGTAGTTTTCTAAAGGTTAGAATCAAGGAATCGTACATGGAGTCTTACAAGGGGCACCAGGGTCCATCTCTAGTCTGATTACCTGTCGTGTATAAATGTATAACCACAGCACTCCTGAAAGATGCCCACGCAACCTGTTTAAAGGCCTCCACAGAAGGAACAACCACTAACTTCTAAAGTAGTCTACCCTGGTATGAAAGAGTTCTTATATTAAAGAAATTATTCCAAAAGTATAGGTGGGAACTCTTATAATTTTAATCAATTGGCTGATGTTCTAATTTCTAGAGTTGCTTCATCTCCTATATGATATCCCTGCAGATATTTAAAGATGGCCATCATGTCACCTCTTGGTTGTTTTCCAAGCTAAATATATCCAGCTCCCTTGTTGTTCCTCATAGGCATTGGTTTCCATTCCATTGATCAAGGAGGATATCCGTTTGTTGATATCCTCCTTGAACTGGATCATTCGAAAATTTCACATAATAGCTGGTCTCTATGTTTTCTCCCAATTTTATTTTTTTCTTATCTTTTTTGTAAAATTTGCAGATGATGGCAAGATCTTTCACGGGAGTGGAGTGGGAGACCCCTTTGGTCCACGCTGCTACAAGGGAGACATCATGGGTTGTGGGATCATGTTTCCCCGCGACTATATCCTTGACAGCGAAGGTATTTGGTATTCTGTAAATTGTAATATGAAGTAGAGGTCATAGTATGTGTGAATGAATGTGGAAACCCAGCTTAACAAATTTCTTCAGAACTATAATAATAATAATAATAATAATAATAATAATAATCTTTATTTGTACCCCGCCACCATCTCCCCCAATGGGGACTCGGGGCAGCTTACATGAGGCCAAGCCCAAGCAACAAATTACAATAAGATAAAATAAGATAAAATGCAAATTACAATTGCAGTAAAGTACAAAACATATAAATGCAATAAACAATATACACAAAACATTAAAAAAGCAGTAAACCAAACATAATGACAGCGAGCGGGCCGCATGTACATAAAATGATTTTAAAAACTCAGGGTGAGATAAAGGAGCAGAATTATTTGTAAGGAAGAACTTACAGAGACAGGGTGATAGACAGATCTTCGTACGGGGGGGGGGGTGTACTCCTAGGACAAGAACGTAGAGGGGAGCAACAGCTTAAGATTATGTGACTACTCTCCAAAAGCACAATGGCAGAGCCAGGTCTTGAGATTCTTTTTAAAGGTTTCTAAGGTAGGGGCTCTCTAGGCAATAAGTTCCAGAGTTGGGGGGCCACAGAGGAGAAGGCTCTCTCCCTTGTACCCACAAGGCGAGCCTGAGAAACTGGCAAGGACTAGAATTGTCACCCAGCAGCTTTTGGGCTAGGCTAGTCTTCTGAAAAGAGGTCCCACCAGGAATGCAGTTCAGTGGTTGAAAGGGCTGTATTTTATTTGACAGAAGGTAGCAGCTGCTCCGCTGGTGGCACAGTGGGTTAAACCGCTGAGCTGCTGAATTTGCTAGCCGAAATGTTGGTAGTTCAAATCCGGGGAGCGGGGTGAGCTCCCACTGCTAGGCCCAGCTTCTGCCAACCTAGCAGTACGAAAACATGCAAATGTGAGTAGATCAGTAGGTACCACCTTGGCAGGAAGGTAACGGTGCTCCATGCAGTCATACTGGCCACATGACCTAGGAGGTGTCTATGGACACCTTTGGCTCTTTGGCTTAGAAAGAACCGGACACAACTAGACTTTATGTCAAGGGGAAACCTTTACCTTTAACAGCTGTCATCCTACCCTTGCTTAGGCCCAATTTGTCACCCAATAGTAAAACCGGTAGCCAACCAGGATTGTAGAGACAGCTTTACCAACTAGTAACTCTATATGACACCAATGGAATTCTGCTTTTGAGATCTTACAGGAATGTTAACATGGAAGATGGAAAACAATAAGTCAGTGTCATTTCCATTCATTCCTTTCCAAATTTCAGCTGCAAAAAAAAAAAAAAAAAAATTCAGTTAGGTTCCCAGAGGCTTCTATAGTCTTTTAAACGGCAGAATTTTGTACCATATTTTAAACCTTTTGCCTTCTGCTATGCTCTTTCCTCTACTGTAGAAAATGGGTGATAACGTGCTCACAAATAGGTTCACATAATGCACTGGCTAACTGGAAGGGCCATTTGTGGTTTAAAACAGATGTATATTTAAAACCAATGCCAGTATAGGTGCCTGGAGAAAACTTTTGGTCAGCACTAGTGATCAAGTGGGGGGCTGTTTTACAAAGCTGTATTGACCTTATATCACAGCGTTGAGATACTATATTTTCATAAGCTCAGTCCAAGTTGTTGGGAGTCTTAGAGTCATTTCTGATTTATGGCAGACCTATTTGCAGTGGTTTCCTGGCAAGATTGTTCAGAAAGAGTTTCCCTTTGCATTCTTCTGAAGCAGAAGCCTGGGAAGTGGCAACCATCGATCTGCTTAAGATTACCATGGCAGATTGAGGTTTCACATTCTGGTCTATAAAGTCATAGTTCAGTGCTGGCTCTCATCTGGGTAGTGTCCATTGGTTTCTAAAATTCATTGGCCTTGGTTATATTCTAGACTTGTTCTATGGTTCCTTTTTCTTTGTGGGTGTGTGGGTGTGAGGTTGGAATATATTTCAATCCAAGCGTTCATGTGGTTTGCTGGTGTCCTACAGGTGACAGTGACGACAGCTGTGATACAGTGGCCATTAAGGCCAAACCCCGGGGTGTGATGAATGTCTTGTACCTGCATCAGGAAGCTGAGGAGGATGAGGATGAAGAAGAAGATGGGGAAGACATGGAGCAGGAACACGAAGGCAAGAAAGTAGTGGTAAGTTGCACTTAGATTGCTGACAGTGGCAGTAGCCTTCCCTGAGTTACCCTCAACAGTCAAGCTGGCACTGACTAAAGATCCTTTCCAGTTTGTAAGAAACCCTTTTTGTGGTGGTGATGCTGGGGTTGTCATCCTTGTTTTAAAGAAGACACCCCCCCCCCCAAAATGCAGTGTCTACGGACACCTTTGGCTCTTTGGACACCTTTGGCTCAGTGGAAGGAAAAAGGCAGCCATAGAGGATAGCTAGTGGTCAGGGCAGTCCTTCCTAAACAGGGCAGGGGTTATATTTGGACTTAAACCAAGGACTTAACTGCCTACCCTTGCTGAAGCTTTTCTGCTTGGGAGCGGCTCAGATGCTTGTGTCCCCAGCTGTTTCATGTCTTAGCAAAATGCTGTCAAGGGACAGGCTGCTGTCTTCCCTATAGCAGCAACCGGGCTCTTCAGGGTTGTTGTTGTTGTTTTCTTTTTTCTTTTGCTGTGCTTCTCAGTATGTGCCAGACAGGAGTGGAGTCATACCCTCACTGCTCTCTGATTTGTCTCTTGTTTTGTCTTGGTGCGGACTGGATGAAGCTTGTTCTTTAGTTTAGGTTGCTTCCTAGTGGCTACTGTAAGCAATGCATCTGAGTCCATAGGATGGAAAAGCTGCTTCCCTGCTCCAGTTAACGGGCTCAGAAGGATCTCTGTATCCCAGAACTGGTTCTGTGCCAAGAGCTGAATTCCTCTTAAAGGTCCAAAGACTATACATCTCTCTTGCTAATGTTGACTTTATAGTTCAGTCGTCCTCAACCTGTGGGTCCCCAGGAGTTTTGGCCTCCAAGTTCCAGAAATCCCAGCCAGTTTACCAGCTGTTAGGATTTCTGGAAGTTAAAGACCAAAACATCTGGGGATCCACAGGTTGAGAACCACTGGTCTGGAGGGTTCATGGCTGCACACATTTGCTACAAAGGAATACAATTTTCTGGGCAACTCGGAAAGGATGGTGGCTGAGATGGGACTTTGGAAATGGTTGTGTCCTGGTTGTCTGGAACCATGATGAGAATTCAGCAGTGGTCTCTAATTGACCAGTGCCATTTATTGTATTTATATTTATTTATTAAAATTATTTCTGAATATGTTTTCTTTAATTCAACTGTAGTTAGGTTTATATATGGTAATATGTTTTGTGGTACATCTCTGCCCGACAGTATGAAATATCCTTACAAAATCGGACCCAACTACTCAGTCCAAGTGCACAAAAGCTAACCTCTGCTGTTTTTCTTTTGTGTTTTTCTACCTCTCCTTCCCCGCAGGTGTTCTTCACACGCAACGGGAAAATAATTGGAAAGAAGGAAGCTGTGGTGCCCGCAGGAGGTTTTTATCCCACAATTGGGATGCTGAGCAGTGGGGAGAAGGTCAAGGTGGATCTGCACCCACTCAGTGGCTGAGGGACAAGGGCCAGGAGCCCATTGCTTTCCTTCTGCAATTCCATGGGACTGCCAGTTGTGCCCCGGGCTCTTCTTCATTGCACTTCCAGCCTCCGCTTCAGGGGCAATGTTGTCATTGTTTTTGTCTGTGGGGCCATCTACGATATCTGTCTACTTAACACCAACTGAGTCAGCTATTCTTGTCTTTTTTGTATTCCATCCCAGCTGCTGCTGTGGGAAAAGAAATCTTCAGGCAACCTTTGTTTTCTAAGCAGGTCTGGAATTTTGCTATGAGACAGAGGTCCAGTCTCCTTCCCATTGCAGCTGTCCATCAGCCAGTCTCAAGCAGCAGTGTGGTTCTGGGCTGGCAAGTTTGGTTGTCACTTTTCAGGCTTTGCAGTAAAGGCTGGCATCCAGTGCTGGAAGTTCTCAAGGCCATCTTCTGTGAAAGGCTGCCTCATCACATTACAGTGTGGCTACGGACTTTGTTTCTTCACTTTGTGTGATGTGTAGGTTACTTGTAACCTCTCTGAAACTGCAAGCTAGCCTTGTGGGATCTTAAGTCTAAAACATGCTGCTCTCGTGATTCCCTTACAGTGCAGCAAATTCCTTTTGGGGCCGGCCCTACCATTTTGCAGAGTGAGGCAACCTCTGGAACTGCCCAGCTGTTTTCCTCTGTTGGAGAGTGTTACACGCATTACACAACCTGTTCTGGATTCCCTGGCCTGCTGCTCTCGGCTGTCAAGGAATACACACAGTCCTTTTTGCTAGCTTTCAGGTGACAGTCACTGGAGTAGGAAAGTGAGGGGATATATTTTCTTTTCCAAATGTCTTGGGCTGGTCTTTGCAACTTCTTCCTTAAGTGCACAAAGTTAAATCAAAGCTCCTAACAAAAGGCCAAGAAACTCCTGACTTTTTCCCCAAATGACGATCCATCTGAAGATGATGTCAGATAATATCTTTGATCCAGGGAAAAATAATTCTTTGTAAGACTTCACCTTTCCTTGATGAGCTCTCTGCCTGACAGCATACAAGCTTTTGCCTTGGGAAGAAAAGGAAGTGGCATTGGTCACCTTCAGGCAGAAAGACCTCTGCCTCCTCCCTTTATGGAGCCATTAAGGATGTTTTTAATATCATGAGTTATTATACAGGGCCACGCTGGCTGTTGAAAAGTTGTTCTTAGCCTGGGTGGCATGCTTTTGCATTCACATTGTAGATGGGGATCGAAAGATGGCATAGGACAGATGAGATGATATGTCCTGCAGTTTGATTGTAAAACGTTTACTCATTACCTTTCCTTCTTTCCATCCCTTGAGTTAAAGGCAGGCCTTTATGTCCATAGCCCTGCCCTTGTATGCATTCCCTTCCAATGTCTCTTACCCTCTGCATTGTGCTTACATTGCTGTAACAATTTTTTTTCCCGCTCTGACTTTGAAGTTTGCAGGGGTTCCTTGGGAGGATGAAGAAACCTGTCATTTGTGTATATGTGGGTAATTCGTGACAGGAGATGCCAAAGAGCAGTAACTTTGTTGAAATCTGGGACAATGGGCAAATGAAAGACAAGTCACTACAGGACACTCTTATTTCTTGGCCCTGTGTCGTCATGGGCAGTCTTGCTGCTAAAACTAGAATATCCTGGGAACCTGAGTTGTGTGGTCCTAAAAAGTATTGCATTGGCTCCCTTTGTGGATGTAGTTCTTTGGCCTTGTGGAAATTGCTGTTTTTATAAGTGGGTTGGATGGGAGCAACACACTCTTTTGGTTCTCTTTCTTGATTGTATGTTGACGTTCTACTATCGATCTCTCCTGGTTCTTGGAAGAGTAAAAGACTTGCTTCTAGTCTTCCAGTCCAAACCTGTTGCTGTGTTGCACGCTGTCCTGGTAGTTACTTCCTCTCCTCCCATTTCTGAAATAGTGTGATGCTTCAGAAGAAAGGAAGTGGGGTGATCTGGGGCAGGGAGCAAATGTGTGGAAGAATGTAGCAGACTTGTTAAGAGTGCTATGCAAAATCCTCTGGCTGCAACAATCCTTGGAAGGAGCCAAATTTCTGCTCCCTCTGCTCATTGTGTCTGATCGGAACCTGATTCTCTCCAGCCCCTTCTCTCTGTGCCTCTGGCTCCTTTGCATCTCTATAGACAGAATCTTGATACACTCAATAAAATTTGGGATTTCCATAATTATCCAACACCCAAAAAGGTTTCTGTTGTTTTTAATACGCCTCTGCTTTAGCTGCCCCCTTGATAACATGGACCCTTTTTCCCTTACTCTATTATGCTATGTAACAACATTTGAAAAATATTCACACCTAACTGCAGCAGGGAAGAGCTCCTTGCCCCACCCCAGCCATTCCACAGATATATAAGCCCATTTTTCCTACTTCCAACAGACCTTCTCAACCTCTGAGGATGCTTGCCATAGATGCAGGCGAAACGTCAGGAGAAATGCCTCTAGAACATGGCTCTATAGCCCGAAAAAACCCACAAGAACCTAGTGATTCCAGCCATGAAAGCCTTCGACAATACATTTGAAAAATATTCTATTTCTGGTTTGAAAATGTTACTTCCTGTTTAATTGTGTGGTACTTAGTTTGCAAGTAGTTGTTATACTCCAGAAACTTCGTTTTTGTGGCTGAGGGTAGTACTATTACATTGTTTCTCTGAAAATAAGACACTGTCTTATACAGGGTGAGGCAGCATAACTTCCTTTTTTAAAATGCACGCCATTCAGTCGGTTGAAGACGTAGCGGAGCGCTAGTGGTCTCGACTGAGGGGCGGGAGTATAAAGTTTTGTCCTGACACAGTTCAGTCGCCATCATGCGTTGGAACAGTGAGGAGTGTGCTTTTGCCGTTGAGGCCTACTTTTCGAGCGGATTTGGAGTGGCCGGCCCGCTCTCCAGATTTGGCCCCTTGTGATTTTTTTCTATGGGGTTTTTGAAATCCCATGTTTATGTGAACCGTCCAAGGACCCTACAAGATTTGAAGACCAACATCCAGGAAGAAATTGCCAACATAACGCCTGCTATGCTGGCAAGAGTCATGACAAACACCAGAAATCAATTTGCTCAGTGTATGGAGAATGCGGGACGTCACCTACCTAATTTGATCTTTAAAACTACACAAAACAAAACTTTAGGTATGCGCCTACATTATAAAAAAATAAATAAAAATTTCTGATTCATACAATGGGTTTTATTAAATTTTGAAAAAAAGGAAGTTATGCTGCCTCACCCTGTATTTATTTTTCCTCAAGAAGGCACACAATGGCTTATTTTCAAGGGATGTTTTATTTTTATTAAGTATGGTACAACAATCTACATTTATTCAAATATAGTCAAGTCGTCTTCTTCTGAAACTTCATCATAACTCTCTAAACTTAGGATTCCATCCTGAATGTGAGTAAAATGGCAGCCACAGCTTTACTTCTTTCTTCTGAGGGCTCACAATACCTAAATCAGAGAGTCCTACTCCTCACTACACTGAGGAGACTTTTAATTTTTCTTTCTACATCTCCCTCTATGCCTTAGCTTGCAGCACGCACAGAATGACCGACTAGGACCTCACATGGAGCCGACCCTGCTGATGGGGCTGCTCGCACTTCTTTGGTCACCTCTGAGATAGCAGCTGTCATAATGGGGCAGATGAGAAGGGCTGCCCATATTATTTAGTGTTCCATGCCTTTTGTGCTACGCTGCATAGCCACACACCTATCGCTATGTCTTATTTTCGGGGTATGGCTTATATTGCACAAATGCTTAGAAATCCTGCTATGGCTTATTTTATAGGTATGTCTTATTTTCTTAGAAACACAGTATTTCCTTCTGTCTAGGTACTTCGTTTGTAATTTTCTTAATGAGAGTCAGCGTGACTTGAGAGTCTGACTAGCCTTTGGCTATGGAAATCCAAGTTACACTGAACTTCAGAGGAAAGCCATGGCAAGTCCCTGAACAAATTTTGACTAGGAAGCTCCATGAGAGATCACCAACTGATTGAAAATGACTTGAAGCCATTCTCTTAGACAGCATTAGTATAATGTTGCAATTATAGCACCACAGCACTCTCTTTTAAAGTAGTGTTTACCTGTTAAGGACAGCATTATAGCTAGAAAAAACATTTTATTGTTTAAATGAACTCCCTTCCCGCTTCAGGAAATGTTGGAATTGGCTTATGCTGAATGTGGGGTGTGCAGCTTCTTAGTACATCGCCACTTCCATCAAAACCACCTCTTGTTAATGGTAAAAGTAAAGGCAACCAGACTTGTGGAATACTGTATCACCTTTTCTCAGAAAAGCTGGATGTTTCACAGTTAGAAAGGTTGAATAACAGTAGGAGAAACATGAAAAGGTTCTTCACAAGTGGATGATGGACTTGCCTGAGATTCTATTGGTGCACTTTGCTGGCTGTTGCTCCTTTTCCAGAATTGTGCAGCAATGAACATTATAGAGCAAGGATAGTTGCATTAGTATACTTTGCACAACCTGTTAGTACATTGAGTGTTATAGTACTATGAGCATAGATTGATATGCATTCTTATGATTATATAACTGTATTTCTTTTTGGTGTATAGTGGCCTTTTGCCCTTGCAGCAAAGAACATCCCATGGACCAGATCATACATTGTCTCAGCAGAGCATAAATACTTTCGTCCCTTCGTAGAATAGCATTACAGTACAATCTGCAAGAAACAGTGGAAGTGCATAGTTGCAATCTCATTTCTTAAGACAGAGAGGCAGTATTTTGAATACTGATGCATATATGTATCTTGAATGATACTCTTGTCATCACTGGTTAGATATCTTTCTTCTGCATTGTCAGGAAGTCATTTGACACATGTCTTTTATGCATGGGCGATAAAGATGGGCTTAAAGCTAACCTTAAAAACTGTTGCATAGACAGAGAACTGGGAAATCCTAGCCCTTGAGCACTCTAGCTGGAGGTCTGCTGTGACCAGCAGTGGTGTGCAATTTGAAGAGGCAAGAATGGAGGGGAAAAGGGAGACGTGCCAAAAGGAAGGTGCATCAAGCTAACCCTGACCGGAACTGCCTTCCACCTGGAAACCGATGTCCTCACTGCGGAAGAACATGTGGGTCAAGAATAGGGCTCTACAGTCACCTACATATTCACCGCCAAGTCATTACACTTGGAAGGCCATCATAGTTGGACAATGAAGGATTGCCTAAGTAAGTGATACATGGGCGAGTCAGGATTCTGGCCTCCATCTCCTTTGCCTAACTTTATTTGCAGCTGCAGTACTGTTTTAAATCTGCTGCTACCTCTGATAGATATAATTATGCCAGCCCCAGCAAAAACCTTGCCTTTGTGCATGTGGAGCCCCTGGAAATTGTGAATGAACAAGTCAAGAGTATTTTCAAAATAAATGGCAGTCAGAAAGTGGGTATCCTCTTGCACAGTGTGTGGAGGATGATAGAAGGACTGCTGTATCCTATATGGCCTGGATAACATTGCAGATCCACATGCATCCCCCTGCTGGCTGAGCCATTTACAACCACCCCAAATGTACTGTACAGCCTCTGGCCTCTCAAATTGCCATGCTGTGTCACTTTGGGGACAGGCTGGATTGGGAAAGGATCTGTGTGCTCCCATAACCAGACGCAGAATGGTTTCACCAGCTCTGGGATCCACCAGTGCCCCTGTGGAGGTCTTGGCATTGCTGTCATTATTTTGCACACAGTTACGGGGACATATCCAGATATTTCCTTTAATCGTGCCTGCTCTCCATAAGGCATGGCTTTGCAAAGGTGGTGGGCTTCAAAGGCTGTATAGCAGTGGGTCCTCAGATGTTTTGGCCTTCAACTCCCAGAAATCCTAACAGCTGGTGAAGTGGCTGGGATATCTGGGAGTTGTAGGCCAAAACATCTAGGGACCTACAGGTTGAGAACCACTGATGTATAGTGGGTCTTGGCATTGCAGGGGGAAAAAGGAATACCAAACTCTGCAACAACCCCCCATTGTAATCCACCAACATTGTCTCCAATCTTGGAGTTCTACCATCTTGCCACCATGCTAAAACAGTGGATGTGGCTCTTAATGAGACATGTCACATTATCACGGGGTGTCTGCGCCCTACACCACTGGAGAAACTACACTGTCTAGCAGGTATTGCACCACCTGACATCTGCCGGGAAGTAGCAGCCAATAGTGAAAGGACCAAGGCAGTGACATCTCCAGCCCATCTTTTGTTTTGGTATCAACCATCACGTCAACGACTTAAATCAAGAAATAGTTTTCTAAGATGTACAGAGACACTCGCTGGGACACCCCAGCAAGCAAGACTCCAAAAGTGGCAGGCTCCAACTCAGAACCTCAACCAATGGCTGATACCAAATGAGAGACTCCCTCCTGGACACACAGAAGACTGGCGATTGGAAGGCACTGAACAGACTGTGCTCTGGCACCATGAGATGCAGAGCCAATCTTAAGAAATGGGGCTACAAAGTGGAATCCATGACATGCGAGTGTGGAGAAGAACAAACCACAGACCACCTGCTGCAATGCAACCTGAGCCCTGCTACATGCACAATGGAGGACCTCCTTGCAGCAATACCAGAGGCACTCAAAGGCCAGATACTGGTCAAAGGACACTTAATCCACTACCAAGCTTGCAAACTTTGTGTTTTGTCTGTTTGTTTGTTTTGTTAAAAATGTAATACAAATGTCAGGTTGCTTCTGACACGATAAAGAAAAAAAAATCTCATTCTGGTCTTGAACTACAAAAAAACAAAAACAAAACCCAGATAGGAATGGTAAAGAGGCAGCCAAATGGGTTTGAACCAGATACCACTGCAAAGAGAAACACAAGAACATAAATAAAACACACTTGTGAGGCTTTCATTTTCCTTGTGTGTTAATTTTGAATAAACAGGAATCGTGTTGCCATTTGTACATGAAGAAGAAAAAAAACATACAGATATAAAAATAACCAAGCTTACTGCTGCTGCTTTCTCCCTCTCCCCCCTCCCACCCCTTCCCATATAGATATATATTATCAACACATCTCTGGCTAACATTCATATATAAATTCTTTAGTAGACAAAAATAGAACTCTGTACTAGCCCAACCCTCCCCTCCCTTTCCTCAGAAACGAGGGCGGCGAGCCAATCCCCCTTTTCGCCAGCCCACCACGACGGCTCTCCTCTATCTCCGTTAATCTGTGGGATTTCTTTCCCTCGCAGCATCAGCATCAGAGGCTTCAAAAGGCAGTCCAGGAGCACAGCTGTGCTTTTGGCATTCATTTCTAAAGTTCCCCTAATGGAAACTGCGTGCGATAGATTGCACCTATATAGGAGCAGAGGAACATGCAGCGATTGTCAGAGCTATTGATGCAGCATCATATAATTCCTAATTTTAAGAAATTTCACTTAAGGTCTGCTAATGTAGATCAAGATTTCTGCTTTTTATGTTCCTCTGTAATGGCTAGTCTTGGCTTTTCAGCACATCTAAAATGAAGGACCATGGGGCCTGCTGTCGTTTTTGGATTCTTGACCCTTCAGGCATAGTTGTTTGAGCGGAAAATCAACTTGTCGAGATTTATTGATGGGTGCACATTATATACGATAGCGTTACCACAATCTGAATTGTTACTTTTAAGAAAAAGCAGCTTCAGAAAGGTGTGCTGTAAGGCACAGTAATTGCTTCCCTAGTCACGATCTCCCTCTTACTTCCAAATTGTTTACTTTCTCTACCCTTTCACAGTTCTAAAAATGCAACTGAAGGAAGATTTTGCACATCATACACTGTACGGTTTTGGCACTTGCAGGAGGCAGGGAAGTCCCTGGAGGAAGTATACCAATTTAGGGAGGCAGCAAATGGATCAAGAATTAAATATACATACTTTCTTCAACACTTCTTCCAACAGCTGCTTCTGTCTTTGGGGTTAAGGTGTGGTTCTGATCCAAGATAACTGATGCCTGGTGACCTAATATAGATAGGTATATATTTTGGTTATGTCAGAAAGTGCAGTTCAGGTCAAGCATTTCAAATTCTTCAGGACCGATTACGGCAAAGCGAGTATAATATTTTTAGCTGGAAGTTCCTTTAGCTGCAACACACTGATAAGGGAAACTTAACACTGACAGAAGGCAAAAACATTACATTAAAGACATTCAATAAAGACCAAACTTGCAAGACACTAGATAGTCAAGGAGTTGGTTGATTTTGAACTGGGCCCTGTTACAAGTCTCTATTGCAAGGGGATATGTTACCCCTTTCTTCCTCAGAATACAACCATGACTGTGTTGTTGGGCAGGACTAATCCTTTCCTTTCCTATCTGGCTCTTCGGTAATTTATTTCTTGAGTCAGTGCTGAAGAATGATACAAGAGATTGTGCAGTCTTCCATAACTTGATGCCCACCAAATATGTTGGCATGTTGTTGTTTATTTGTTCAGTTGCTTCCAACTGTTCAAGACCTCATGGACTAACCCACGTCAGACCTCCCTGTCAGCTGTCACCACCCCCAGCTCCTTCAAGGTCAAGCCAGTCACTTCAAGGATACCATCCCTCCATCTTGCCCTTGGCTGGCCCCTCTTCCTTTTTCCTTCCATTTTCCTCAGCATCATTCTCTTCTTTCCTCTCTTGGCATACTAGCTGACAATAGGTTATGTAGTCACTGCAGGCATATGAAGTGCCTCCCAAGGCCAGTGTTAGTGAAACAAGACTGGGTTGCACCACAAAATACTCGAGAAAGTCTTCACACACCTTTTGGGGCATTCTAAATGTAACTGATGAATAGGAGAACAAGGAGTACGATATAATTTTACACTTTGGTTCTCCTTGGCTTTCAAATCCAGCAGCCAGTTTCCGCATAACAGAAAAGTCTTTAAATCCAAACCTCTTTGGTTGGGAGCTGGAAAACATTCCTCTCCGTTATAGCCCAGAAAGTGCAAGTTGTAGTCTTCTCATCCTTTGAGGCTGAGGTGGGCAACCATTGTGTTTGTTGAGATGAAAGCCTCATTATGGTGGTGGATGTGAATGAACCAACACAACGTCAGTGCAAAACTCAACAAAGATGGGGCACTCCTTTTGTGGTTTCTCTACCGCTTTCTTGCTTTGTCTGTTCCAACCTAGTGGGCTACCAAGGAAGGAGTAAGCCATTCTTGCCAGAAATCTGACTTGACTCTTTGCAGAAGGTTTTGAAATGAGGCCTAAGGTTTGCATACAAACCCAGGGGTGGAGGTTGCCCACTCCACATTTGGTACAAATCACTGACTCACACCTCCATTCTCACAGCCCCTGATAGCGCAATGGGCTAAACCATTGTGCTGCCAGGACTGCTGACCGACAGGTTGGCGGTTTGAATCCAGGGAGCGGGGCGGGCTCCCATCCGTTAGCTCCAGCTTCTCATGCAAGGACATGAGAGAAGTATCCCAAAGGATGGTAAAACATCTGGGCATCCCCTGAGCAATGTCCTTGCAGATGGCCAATTCTCTCACTCCAGAAGCGACTTGCAGTTTCTCAGATCACTCCTGACATGAAAAAAAACCTCAGTTCTCAGACACTTTCACAAGCCCTTGATGAATTAAGCAGCAAATTCCTGACTGCAGGCATTACTACTATTTCGTACTTCTCCATTCTCTATCACTTTATCACATACAGCTGCCCAATTTCACAAGTGCTGTCCTAAAACTTGGTGGCCAACATGCCTCCTTTTCATAGTCGATAGGAATGTCTACACATTTGGTACTCTGCTGCAACTACTTAAAATTGGCCTTTCGCCTCAGTGGAGTGGAGGCTAAATAGTTCATAGGTATTGTTTCCCCACCCACAATAATATTTCTATAGGCAAACTTTGATTGCTTCTAGTTTTGCTCAGTGTTAATTTAAAATGTACATTAGCCCAAATTTGTTTGAATTATACATGATTATTCTTTCTCGGAACCTACTCCTGACACTCCTCTCCAAATCCATTCTTAAATTGCCAAATGATTTTGGCTGTCTGAAAAGCCTTGTGCGTTTTCCATTACACACTGAATACTACCCAGTTAGATAATCATTACATTATATAAGGAGATGAGAGGTGAGGGAATAGTCCTGATGCTCCCAAGTCGTCTTCTGCTGCAAGTCTATCATCCAACCATTCCATAAGCAAATCAAAGATCTGAGTGAGTTCAAAATGCCGCTTCTCTACTAAGTACTGATAGCTCCCTTGCAGCCACCTTCTGTCCAGTCACCATCGACCCAATGTTTACAAGTAACAACCTGGCTTGTAACATGTTATTAGGGTGATTTTATAATGGTGGGCGTAACACGAACAGGACAACATTCCTTTTCTAAAACTGTCACAAGTGGTAATCTGGATTTTGCTATATAAAGTAACACACATGAGGTCTCCTCACTACTGCCATCAAATTGACTTCACAGCAATGAGAAAGCTTCAACAACCCTGCTCAGGTCTTGCAGATTCAGGACCGTGACTTCCCCCGTTGATGTCTTCCTCTTTTCCTCTTACATGATTATCTGTTCTAGTGAGTCATGTCTTTTCATTACTCAAGCTCAGTATAGTTGTCTTCTAGGATGGCTTCAGACTTGATTTGCTCCGAGACCCATTGATTTGTCTTTTTTTAGAACTCAGTGGTATCCAGAGTTGGTATTCTACTTTGTCCTATTGTTACTATGATATGATGGTTAGATACTATGGGATCCTACTATAGGGAAGTACTAAAATGCTTTGGAGCACATTTTATAGGGTTTTTTTTTCTTTGCATGATTAGGCCATTTCCTTCCTTTTCAAAACACAGACACATCAGACCTAATAACACACTAAACATAAGGTTTCAGAGAAGCAGCGTATTCTCCAGACAATTTCTGTCACCAAATATGTCCCAAAATAGATCACTGCTACCTTTGGCTTAACCAGTCATTCTAACTGTCTCTTCTACCCTGATGGTAGAACAGATGCTTTCCCTGTATGGACATAGACTGTGCCATACAACCATTATTTCCAAATTGCTGGACTGCACCATCGACCTATGCTTATAGAAACACCAGGCGTGAGGCTGTGCAGCCTTCGCCTCACAGTCCTTTATCTGGTAGGAAGAAAAATGTTAGAAGCATTTAACCTCTTCTTCCAGGTGCAGGTGGGGAGTGAAATCAATGCTCCTGGGAAGTGAAGCCAATACGTCCTCAGCATCCTTTCCTCCTGGATCAATGTTTCACAAAGTTATGGTCCGAGGCCAAATATTGGTTCTCAAGGCATTGGCTGAGGATCCCTGGTACTGGTCCCTGGCACACTGGAAAATAATAATTTCCAGTACCTCACATCAGATGGCACTAGATGACACTCTTTTGCTGAAAAAAGGGGGGCGAGCTGTGACAAAGGACAGAGTAGCAAACTCCTAGGAGTATCTCTGCCTAGGCCTACCAACGGTCCCAAAATAGTTTCTCCTCATGCTGCATCATGTTGCAGGTGACAAAAGAGCAGTGGTCAAAGTGGAGAGGAAGGGATGGCCAGGTGGGAGATCTTGGTAGTCTTCATCTCCGGTGAGTCCCCAACATAACTTTAGTGATGAAATTGACAATCGCCGATGCTGGTTGCTCAGGATCTAACTCAGCAAAGAGGTGGCAGACATTCTCACAGGGGCTGCCTTGCTTCTTGGCTACGAAGCCAAAGACCCTAGAAAAGAAAGAGATCAGCACTGTCTGAATGCAACCCAGAAGTGACTTTTTACACAGACAAACCAGCTAATCCCCATAGTCTTGCCTAAATCAGAATTATCTTAAAATCTAAACCATTTATTATGATTTATTAAAAGCATGGCTGAAGTGGTTTCTTATAAATTAACATCATGGTCCCAGGCTGTTCTAATACTTACTTGGAAGTGGTGCCATCTGGGTTGGCCCACCTGCAATTGAAAAAAAAAAAGTTTGAGAAACAGTGGAATAGATTCAGTGAGAATACTCTGGTCAGGATTAAAAGGGGATTTAGTATGTATGCATTACTCATTTTCATTATCTTTGAGGCAATCATGTGGCCTGCTGCAAGTCGCAGTTTCATCTATGCTGATGATCGTGCCATCACCACCCAAGCAGGGAGCTTTGAAATGGTTGAACAGAAGCTCGCCGAAGTTTTAGGTGCTCTTACTGACTATTACAGAGAAAACCAGATGATTCCTAATCCATCTAAAATGCAGATGTGGCTTTTCACCCTAAGATCACACAAGCATCTCGAGCTCTGAGGATTATCTGGGTAGGAATTCCACTGGAGCACTGCGGCACACTCAAATACCTGGGAGTCACTCTGGACCGTGCTCTGACTTACAAGAAGCACCGCTTGACTATCAAGCAAAAAGTGGCCACTAAAAATAATCTCATACGAAAGCTGACTGGCACAACCTTGGCATCACAACCAGACACAGTGAAGACATCTGCCCATGTGCTTTGCTACTCTGCTGCTGAAAACACGTGTCCAGTGTGGAACACATCTCACCATGTTAAAACAGTGGGTGTGGTTCTTAATGAGACATGCTGCATTATTACATGATGTCTACATCCCACACCACTGGAGAAATTATACTGTCTAGCCAGTATTGCACCACCTGGCATCCGCTGGCAAGTAGCAGTCAATAAAAATGAAAGGACCAAGGCAGTGACACCTCTGGCCCATCCCCTCTTCTGATATCAGCCAGCACGCCAATGTCTTAAATCAAGAAATAGCTTTCTAAGCTCTACAGAGATATTCGCAGGAACACTTCAGCAAGTGAGTGTCCAAAAGTGGCAGGCTAAAACCCAAAATCTCAATCCCTGGCTGATACCAAATGAGAAACTTCCTCCTGGGCACTCAGAAGACTGGGCAACTTGGAAGACACTGAACAGATTGCACTCTGGCACCACGAGATGCAGAGCCAACCTTAAGAAATGGGGCCACGAAGTGGAGTCCATGGCATGTGAGTGTGGAGAAGAGCAAACCACAGGCCACTTACTACAATGCAGTCTGAGCCTTGCCACAGGCATAATGGAGGACCTTCTTATAGCAACACCAGAGCACTCCAAGTTGCCAGCTTCAGGTCAAAGGACATTTAGTATAATGCCAATTTTTAAACATTGTGTTTATAAATACCTTACAACTGTACCCTCAATTTGCTTCTGACATGATAAAAAATTAAAAACCATTTATATGTTTTTAGTTAAGTGAATACTTAAACCACAATTTTGTTGGAGTGTTGCATTTTCATAAGTGAACTCACGTCTGCAGAATTAGAATTGTGCAGTTGTACAACATAGCAGGGCCAGCAAAGTGGCTGATGTGCATTGTTGCCAGATCCATAATGGGATCAAAACATCAATCTTGGGAATGCACACTGTTTCAGTTCCAGGGAACACTGGGCATTCTTGTTGATGCCCCGTTATGCATCTTCATAATTTAGTAACTGGGTTTCCTAGTTCTTATGCTAGGTAGCTTGGTATATGAAAAGTTACATTACATAAGAAGTCATACAGGATTCCAGCACAGGCTTAAGAAAAGTACAAATTGTATTCCAGCTTTTAAAACTGAAATGATAAAATAAATACAGGTTAAACATCTCTTTTCCAGAAATCCACTTTTGTTTTCTGGTGGTTCAATATATACTAACTTTGGGTTGTTGTAGGTTTTTTCGGGCGATATGGCCATGTTCTATAGGGATTCTCTCCTGACGTTTCGCCTGCATCTATGGCAAGCATCCTCAGCGGTAGTGACTACCTCTGAGGATACTTGCCATAGATGCAGGCGAAACGTCAGGAAATAATGCCTCTAGAACATGGCCATATAGCCCGAAAAAACCTACAACAACCCAGTGATTCTGGCCATGAAAGCCTTCGACAATACTTTATACTAACTTTGCTTCACAGAATCCTAGAATTGGAAAAGAACATTGAGGGATATCAAGCCCAACCTCATTCTGCCATGCTGGCACACAAAGACACAATCAACATTGTGAGAGAAAGGCACAGGCACAAGTTTTACAATGCACAAGCTTTGTAAACACCATGACAAACTCAGGCTAAGTGAGTGGTTACCTGCGGTCTTGGGGATCCGTGCTGCAGAAAGTGACAGTATTGACAGGATAATGACGGCGGAAAAACAACCTGTGGGAAGAAGGAACAAAATCCTGAATTCAGGTTGGGAAGGAGCCTGAGGAATGAAAATCACAGTGTGGCCATTGCATGCATTCAGAAGAAGAGAAAGAAGGCAGGGGAGAACAAAGATGGAAAAGGTCAAGAACAGTGTATCCTCAGGGATTGAAAGGGTCTAGAGGTCATAGTAAGCCTGATATTGTCCCACATGGGCAGAGGCCGGCTGACTCACTTTCTCTGATTGTCCGTGAGGGTGATGCCCTGGGCCGACACCTTGAAATGCACAACGGAGGCAGAAGGACGAGGAGTGGTGCTCAAAGTGCTGGTGGTTGCCTTAGCCACAGCCTGTGGACCTGTCAAGGATTCAGTTTCCACAGAGCTCAGGTAAAGCACGCTGCAGGCTGCAATTTGGAGGGAGAGAGATTGAAAGAGATCAGCTCCATCCTTCTGGATTTTCCATAAAACCACATCACAAGTCATTTCCACAGGATCTTCTACTGGACCCAGCAGCCAAACGTTTAAGAGGATCAATGTATTGTTGAAGGCTTTCATAGCCAGAATCACTGGGTTGTTGTAGGTTTTTCTAGAACATGGCCATACAGCCCAAAAAACCTACAAAAACCCACTTTAAGAGGATCCATTCTGCTTGGGCCTGATAAGTTGCTTATTTACATCGCCTGATGAGATACAAGGCTAAAATAGAATGCACTTTACTACTGGTTTAGGATTGACTGCATTCTCTCATCTCTCTTTGAAAAACCCTATACCAGTTATATCCTACCTTGTTCATGCCCAGCGTTTATTTTTTAATTTTTAAACTATTACATTTGGCCCAGCCATAGGTTTTTAAATCCTTGTGTGTTACTGCTTATTGGTTATAAGTGATTTATATTAATTGTATTGTATTTATTGTTTTTGTTTATTGCTTTTGTTTATTGATGTACTGTTGGACTTGGCTTCGTGTAAGCCGCTCCAAGTCCCTTGGGGAGATGGTGGCAGGGTATAAATAAAGATTATCATCATCATCATCATCATCATCATCATCATCATCATCATCATCATCATCCTGGGTGGCAACTTTGTCCTTAAGGTGGCAGGACAAGAAAGTGTAGGGAAAACAACTGCAAAATGTTGGTTGAAAATGATGAAAACGATCCCAACTCTTCTACTTCCTCTATTCATTTCTAGCTTTATGACAGCGACCAGTGGACATCAAATCTCTAAAGTAAAAGTAAAGGTTTCCCCTTGACATTAAGTCTAGTCATGTCTGACTCTGGGGGATGGTGTTCATCTCCATTTTTAAGCCGAAGAGCCAGTGTTGTCCATAGACGCCTCCAAGGTCATGTGGTCGCATGACTGCATGGAATGCCATTTCCTTCCCGCCTGAGATGTACCTATTGATCTACTCACATTTGCATGTTTTCAAACTGCTAGTTTGGCAGAAGCTGGGGCTAACGGATGGAGCTCACCCTGCTCCCCGGATTTGAACTGCAAGTTCTGCAGCTCAGAGGTTCAACCCACTGCACCACCAGGGGTTCCTATCACAGCTCTACCTTATATCAAATGTTAAATAAAACCATATATTCCTTGTGTCATATAAATCCCAGTACATTTTCTCACTTGAGGGCAGAGCTTGAAAAGGAACTAGTTATATTACTGGGTTTTTGTAGGTTTTTTTGGGCTACATGGCCATGTTCTAGACTGAGGCATTCTCTCTCGACGTTTCGCCTGCAACTATGGCAAGCATCCTCAGAGGTAGTAAGGTCTGTTGGACCTAGGAAAATGGGGGTTATATATCTGTGGAATGACCAGGTTGGGACAAAGAACTCTTGTCTGCTGGAGCTAGGTGTGAATGTTTCAACTGACTACCTTGATTAGCATTTGATGGTCTGGCAGTTGTTTGGTGTGGCTTGTTAGTATCTGAGGCAATCTTTCGTTGAGAGGTGATTAGACGTCCCTGATTGTTTCCTCTCTGTTGTTTTGCTGTTGTAATTTTAGAGTTTTTTAAATACTGGTAGCCAGATTTTGTTCATTTTCATGCTTTCCTCCTTTCTGTTGAAATTGTCCACATGCTTGTGGATTTCAATGGCTTCTCTGTGTAGTCTGACATGGTGTGTGTTCGAGTGGCCCAGCATTTCTGTGTTCTCAAATAATATGCTGTGTCCAGGCGAATGTCAGGAGAGAATGCCTCTAGAACATGGCCATATAGCCCGAAAAAACCTACAACAACCCAGTGATTCCAGCCATGAAAGCCTTCGACAATACAAAGTTATATTACTTGTTTTTCTGTTGACCCAACAGACCAACATACTAGATTATTTGCTAATGCAGTCAGCCCTTCCCATTTGTGGATTTGACTTTTATTAGAAGGGACTAGTTTCTGGTCTATCTACCAGGTTTCCTAAATTCCTGCGTACTCTACTGATTTACACAAACTCTGTTACGAACAAACCAACTTCTATTTCATGCTCACACCTCTCTCATTCTGTTCTGGCTCTTACCTGCTCCCTGCTTCAGCAAGTCAGCAGCTGTGCTCATATTGGTGGGGACTGCCAGCTCTGGGCTTTCCTCCACAAGATCTGCAAAGTGGAGGGCAGACAAAGAAAGTAACAATGTTCGCCATCCACAATAAAGACAACACAGCAATTAACCACATGTGTGTTTGACAAATGGATCCAGTCTTGCAGGAGACTTCTGTAAGTGTGAGATTCTAGAGACAAACCAGCTGTGCTGGGAGTATCGTCTCTGAAAGGAGAAATTGTGCAGTTTGATGCCGTCTAAGCAAATTCAGCAAGGTTGGTACAGAGAGAGACAGGGGCACATGCAGTCTTGTGTTTCATTGATCCTTGTTTTAGGGAAGCTGCCATCCAAGCTATTTGATTTATTTATTTCATAATGTAATTTGACAGAATCACTGAATCCTAATAAAGAGCCTCGTGGGAACCCACCTTTGTTTGGGATGTGGAGGCGGCAAGGCAATGAGATGGGGGTGATGGAGTGCTGGGAGACCAGGGCTGGTAAGCTACCTAAAAAATAAAGACACAAAGCCATGAGGAAAGGTGCCATCTCCATGCATATTGTAATCTCCCGGCTATCAACACAGTATCCTCATCCACCATCAACCACAGAACCACTTCACCAAGCAGAAGGATACAACTTCTCCCCAGGAGTCCCACCAAATCTGGCATATTATTATTCCAAGCCAGTGTGGACAGGGCACCCATTTTTGGGAAGTTGTTTATTGCAGATCATCTGAAAGTGGCTGCTCTGAAAAAGGTGGTACAGCATGTCCTTCTTTGTGTCATCATTTCCATCCACTCACCAAAATAGGGCTCATTGTTGCAGCCCTTGATCTTTACTCCCTTGGGCCCGGTCTCAACCAGGAAGTGGCGCACCAACTGCTCAGCTGGGTCTCCTAGGGCAGGACAAGGAAAGGGCACAGATCAGTTACAGATGCTAACATAAAGGTAAAGGCTTCCCATGACATTTAGTCTAGTTATGTCTAACTCTGGGGAGTGGTGCTCATCCCCATTTATAAGTCGAACAGCTGGCATTGTCCATAGACACCTCCTAGATTATGTGGTCAGCATGATTTTATGGAGCGCTGTTACTTTCACGCCAGAGTGGTAACTATTGATCTACTCACATTTGGATGTTTTCAAACTGCTAGGTTGGCAGAAGCTGGGCCTAACAGTGGGAGCTCATCCTGCTCCCCAAATAAAAACCACCAAACTTTTGGTCAGCAAGTTCAGCAGCTCAGTGGTTTAACCCGCTGTGCCACCAAGGGGCCCTTGCAGATGCTAGTCCCTTCTAATCTGACAAGCTCTCACACTAGAGATATCTTGGAAGAGAAGCTTCCATACAAATGACAAGAGCAAGGAAAGGGCACCTGGCTCATTTTCCCACAGGAACTACAACTCCTACTATTAAGCTGTGTAGTGTTTGGCTGTTGTTCTCACCTTTGGTGGAGTGGTTTATGCTGTTGGGTGGAGGCGTTGCCACTTTGAGAGCCAGGCCATAAGCCCCTTGGAAGGAGTTGCTGTCCCGGATAAGGAAAGTGCCGGGCTCCTTGTTCTTTAGGAGGGCAATAGCTGTCCAGAGGGAGGAGAAGCAAAAAGAAAGTGAGTATCTTTTTTATGAAAGAAAAAAATCCAGTTCTGCCATAGGAATCTTGGCTATTATAATGAATTATATAAAGTTAAGGTCCAACATCAATTGGGTTTTCTGGAATTTCCTAAAAAGGACATCCCCTAAATATACTTTCTAGGCGTCTGGCACTCACAGAAAAGGCTTTCCCTCCTTTCCTCAACAGGAAAGAATTGTGGTTAATTTCTATAGATGTAAGCTATTTTTTTAAAAAAATGCTGAAAAACTGATAGGCAGGTGGAATAGCACATCAGAGCCAGCTCTAACATTTGGCCTAGTGCTATCATAGCATTCTTATTTGTTGTCAAACAGGTGGAGAAGAGCTTGAGAACTTTTCAGCCTCAGGCGGCATGCATGCCAGGTACTCCATTTCTGAAAGTCTCGTGACATGTGCAGTTGCCATCTAAAAGATCATTTCTTGTCATAATGGATAGAATGGAGTGAAGAAAACTGAGAGTATCTAAAAGTGGCTTTGTATAACCATTGTTTGTTGACACACGTATGCATGCAACCATCTATAGATTTATATCTGTGTGACATGCAGTTAATGTAATGGGTTCTTTGCGAAAGAGGGATACTGGTATCAATGGTTTGAGCCATGTGTGTACAGGCTATAGTAATCTCCTCTCCAATCTACTGCTAACCTACACAATGCATGTTAAACTATATATGTGAAAGAGAAATAAAGGGAGAGAATGAAAAAATTGAGCATCAATTATATCTATATAACAACTTTTGGGGTATTCAGAGGGATTTATATTCGATAGTACAACCATCACCATTTCTGCAATACTATTACTACTACTACTACTACTAATAATAATAATGGGTTGCTGGGAGTTTTCTGGACTGTATGGCCATGTTCCAGAAGCATTCTCTCCTGATGTTTCACCCACATCGATGGCAGGCATCCTCAGAGGTTGTGAGGTATATTAGAAACCTGAACCTTCCACAGACATATAAACCTCCCTGGCTTAGTTTCCAATATACCTCACAACCTCTGAGCAGGCATGTAGGTGAGGGGGGGGGGGCTTGAGGGGCTTCAGCCCCGCCCCCCCCGAAATTCTCATGGTGGTTCATGAAAAGGCCTTACTGGTGTATTATTTAAACTGTTATGTTTATTCATATCATGATCTGATCACCATGCTCAATATATCCCATATGCATGGGGGTATTGGGGTAACGATACAAAACGTTTGCTAGGGTAGACCCTCTTTCACTCAGACTCAGCCCCCCCCCCCCCAAATCAAAATCCTGGCTATGGGCCTGCCTCTGAGGATGCCTTCAATTGATGTGGGTGAAACGTTGGGAGAGAATGCTTCTGGAACATGGCCATATTGCCTGGAAAACTCACAGCAACCCAGTGATTCTGGCCATGAACACAATGACAACACAATTAATCATAATAATAATAATAATAATAATAATAATAATAATATACATTATTTATATTTTGCTCTGTCTCCCCCAAGGCAGTCCGTCTTCCATGCTGAGGAGCTCATTTATTCTCCCAATCAATAATAATAATAATAATAATAATAATAATAATCATCATCTTTATTTGCACCCCGCTACCATCTCCCCAAGGGACTCGGTGCGGCTTACATGAGGCCAAACCCAAAGTACATCAAACAAAACATCAATAAACACAACATCAATAAACAATCAATAAAATACAAATCATATAAATCACATAAACAAAAAACAATCAATAGTGATGTAAACAATTTTAAAAATCAAATCGCTGGCATGTCCTTAAGGGTGTCTTTTATTACCTCCCTTCTATTTATCTACTCACATTTCTGTTTTTGTTGTGCTAGGTGAGCAGGAGCTGGGGCTGATGGCGGGTGCTCACCCTGACTTGGGCTTGAACTGTCAACCTTTTGATCGGCAGGATTTTTTACAGCTTAGTGGTTTAACTCGCTGTGCTAAGCCTGGCAAGGCAAGTCAGCTCTATTGCACCTCCATCTATCATTTTGTTGCGTTACTCCAAGTACTTTCAGGAAGAATATGGATGGCTGAGAAAGTGGCAAATGCCACACTGTCCTATTAACCCTTATGTTTCTATCCAGTGAGTCCTGGATCAATAACCTTATGAAATATTCACCCAGAATGAAGGAAACTAACACAGAAAGGAGTCTAAGGGCAGAAGAATAAGACACACATTCTTAGTAGAAGTAGTAGAGACAATCTATGTAACTCCAATCTAAAGTGAGCAATATACAACGACTTGGCCACTGGTGTATTCTGTTGTACTTTCTTGGGGTGGTGGCGGAAATGGTTAAGGGAATGACATAAATTCTCCATTCAGGGCTTTTGTAGGCCGAATGTTTTAAGTCAGTCCAACAAAACTTCAAACATATGTCTCAGAGTTTAAATAAAATACTACAGTTATTTAATTCTAGCCAAAACCAAAAAAAGTAGTTTGGGAATAGTCTACCTTGGTCCCGTGACAAATGAGGCTTGTACCAGAACTTTGATGTGTCTTGGACAAATTTGACGCTCACTTGGTTTTCTTGCTGTGGTGGATCTGGAAGGAAGCAAAACAGAAGTGAATTCTCCCTCTAGTAAGCAGGCAAACAAATGTGCCTGAAAGATCTAAAAGATGGCAATGGTAAGAAGAAGAATGCATATACTTTTGCAGTGCTTTAAAGAGTTCAAAGTATTTCACAGACACTCTCCTTTGTAATCCTTACTGTAATCCTGAAAAGAGGCTGACATTATCTTGAAGAAAGGGCATAGCTAGGCAGAACACGTGCTGAACATGCCACATTCACTCTTCAATTAAAAGTAATCCCAGGTTACAGGGCCTCAAAAGAATTCCCTTTACTTGCCATCCAGAGTAGACAATACTGGACTATGATAGGTCAAAGACCTAACTAACACGCAGGAGCCTCATACCTCTTTATTTAAAATGCAGCAGCTAAATAGGCTCTTCAATGAAATGAAAGCTTTCCATGGGGTCTGTATCACATCCTATTCTTTTCTATCTCTACATATTGTTTCAAAAATTGCTATCTTTAGGGAAATTGGGAAATGGTAGCTAAACGCACGTTTATTTACAAAATATTTACACATATATATGGAGCACTCGGTGGCACAGTGGGTTAAACCACTGAGCTGCTGAACTTGCTGACCAAATCCAGGGAGCGGGGTGAGCTCCTGCAGTTAGCCCCAGCTTCTGCCAACCTAGCAGTTCAAAAACATGCAAATGTGAGTAGATCAATAGGAACCGTTCCGGTGGGAAGGTAACAGCGCTCCATGCCACATGACCTTGGAGGCGTCTATAGATAACGCCGGCTCTTTAGCTTTAGCTTAGACACTTCCCAGAGTCAGACATGACTAGACTTAATGTCCAGGGGAAACCTTCTCTATATAATAATAATAATAAGAATAATATACATCTATATAAATAAAATGTAATGTTCGTTTGTAGGATTAACAGAACTCAAAAACCACTGGACGAATTGACACCAAATTTGGACACAAGACACCTAACAACCCAATGTATGTCCTTCACTCAAAAAAATTGATTTTGTTATTTGGGAGTTGTAGTTGCTGTGATTTCTAATTCACCTACAATCAAAGAGCATTCTGAACCCCACCAACAATGGAATTGAACCAAACTTGACACACAGTTCTCCCCTGACCAACAGAAAACACTAGAAGGGTTTGGTGGGCATTGACCTTGAATTTTGGAGTTTTAGTTCACCTACATACAGAGAGCATTGTGGACTCAAACAAGGATGGATCTGGACCAAACTCTACACAAATACTCAATATACCCAAATGTGAACACTGGTGGAGTTTGGGGAAAATAGAATATTGACATTTGGGAGTTGTAGTTGCTGGGATTTGTAGTTCACCTACAATCACAGAGCATTCTGAACCCCACCAACGATAGAATTGGGCCAAACCTCCCACACAGAACCCCCATGACCACCAGAGTGGGCCACAGCAATGCGTGGCAGGGGACGACTAGTTATTTATATATCACTCTGTCTCCCCCAAGTTTCTTACTTTTTCCTACATATGGAGACATTTGTGACACCCTGTATGACAGAAATACCAGGTGTGACAAAAATTTATAGTTAGACATTGTATCCACAAGTCTTGTATCTAAAATTCAACCCCTACTATCCTGACTAAACAGAACAAATTGCTGACCTCCAGATGTTACTGTATCACAAATCCCATCAGCTCTAGGCATGAAGTCTAAGGCTAAGGAATACAGCAGCTGGAGAGTCACATAAAAGGACAAGTTGGGCTGGATTTGGCCCGTGAACCTTGAGTTTGGCACATGTGGAATGGGCCCATGAGGATGGGGATGCACAATTCCCACAAATGTGGGGAAAAATGTAAGTTTGGTATTTTTATAACCCAAGACAGACATTTTCTAGGAATTTTCTAGACCCTCCAGCTAAGATTTTCTAGTCACCTTACAACACAAGTTAACAACAGAATTGAACTGAAGGACCTAGCTAGACAGAACACTTTTTTAGGCATCACTGGGTCCTCCAACACAATTCTATGGTCAACTTCTAGTAGATGTGGACTACAGAATTGCACTGAGGGACTGGGAAATGCCTAACATAACTCTAAACCAGTGCTACTCAAAGTGGTCGCCCATTGACTAGTTCCAGCTCAAAGTTCCAGGAATGAAAGACACATCTGAAACCAATGGGCACTGCTGAAGAGCTTGTGTCATATCTGAAACAATACTGACTCCATGTTGTTGCCCTCAGAAGATAGATGACTACCCCATATCATGTGAACCTGACTGCCCTTAAAAGAGAGATCCACAAGGGCCTGTTAATGAGAAAGCCCAGTCTTAACTAAACTAGCCTCTCAGAATGGTGGGACATGCAACAGAGCTTCTGGTGGAGATCTCAAATTGTGGGTAGGCTCATATGGGATCAGGCTATCTATCCTAGCCCAAGCTGTCCAGAACTTTCAAGGCTAAGACCATCACTTCAAATTAAGCTTTGATACAAAATGGAAGCCAGTGAAGTTGGCGCAAGTCTTGTATTCTGTGGTCACCAAAGCATTGATCAAACAACAGTCTGACATGGTTTGCACTAACTATGGCTTCTGATGGAGAGTAAGCACAGGACAGTGCTGACATTCTTGAACTATGGCTCTGGAGACCATAGTTTGAATATCTGCTTATTCATGGAAACCCACTGACTTCAGACAACTCTCTCAGCCTCAGACAAAGACAAAGGCAAGCTCCCACCTTCTGAACACAACTTGACAGAAAACCCATATTAAAAGATTTGCCTTTGGGTCACCATAAGTCAGAAATAAATCGAAGCCCCACAAGAATGGATTCTGAGAAGTCTTCAAAGGCAGCCCTAGATACAATACTTTATAGTACAGAAGTTCTCGACCTGTGGGTCCCCAGGTGTTTTGGCTACAACTCCCAGAAATCCCAGCCAGTTTACCAACTGTTAGGATTTCAGAGAGTTGAAGGCCAAAACATCTGGGGACCCATAGCTCGAGAGCCACTGTTATAGTAGCTTAACACTATTTCTATGAGGCTCAAAACACCTCTTACCTGAGCCAGGTGTGCTGCCATCGGGTACGCCAGGTGCAAAGGTGACATGATGAGCAGATCCAGGGCTCCGGCCTGGTGGTGAACTCCTCTCCCAGTTTCTGGTTGCCAGAGTGTGATGTTTCTCTGGCAGTGGAGGTTGCTGTGGTTCACACAGTTGCTCCCGGATGGAGGGGCTGCTTTCTGTGCCTGTGTAGTAAGCTGTTGCAATGGGGAAGGCTGGGGTGGGTGAGCCCTGCATGTCAGAAAAACCATAACTAAGGGATGTTGACTGGACATTGACTGAGCAGGGCCCGAGAGAGGGGTTTCTGCTGGGGCAATGAAGGAAGTTGCTCATCTCAGGCTCGGCTCTCTCACCACGGGGGCGCCCATTATAGACCGCAGGAACCTGAGTAGAAGATGGAGTGCTAGGTACAGTCCTGCAGCTGGGAGCAGGTTGGCTGTGGCAGGGAAGTCCTGAGCTGCTCTTCTGTGCCTGTCTCTCAATGACAGGGCTAAGTCGGTGTCCTAGATGATCTTCAGAAGGCAACACATTGGACAATGCTGAGGTGCAGGAGCTTGATATCTCTGAACCATTCTGGTGCAGTTGGCCCTCTGGGAAGATACCATGTTTGGCTGTGGGTGAAGGAGCAATGTGCGGTGAGTTGGATGCGCAAGTGGCACGGGAACATGGTTGGGGGGACTGAAGACCCATCTTCGGGGATGATGTGCCATTAGCTTGGGGCCTCAAGGTGGGGAGGTGTGTGAAAGCCTGCATTGGGGACAGAGTCTGTGTGGGGCTACTTGACGAAGAAGCCACCTTCTCTGGCCCTCTTTTCCAGCTAGGCGTAGCCAGTTCTTCAGGGCTGGGCTGGTGCAAATTTTCAGGAGAGCTGGCAGTCTTGCTGATGTGCTTATGGGTTCCAGGGCTGAGGATCAACAAGTATATCATTAATCAGTCTTGGTAACAGTGCCTGGCATGCACTGCAATAAATCTCAATATTGCTGTAGAGGCCCAAATCCAATTACTAGTTCCAACTAAGTAAAGCTACTGAATCAATGGCAGCTTGGTAAGTCAACACTTCTGTGTAAGTTTCATTGTTTCAATAGTTCTAGTTGCACTAATGTGGTTGTAACATTACATGGGAATTCAGCAGGAGTTGTCTTTCAGGGAACATTGCTAATCTCAGGGTGGTCCGCAATAACTTAAGGCCTTACTGGTACATTATTTAAACTGTTAAGTTCATTCATATCATGATCTGATCACCATGCTCAATATATCCCATATGCATGGGAGTATTGGGATAACAATACAAAAGGTTTGCTAGGGCAGATCCTCAGCCCCCCCCCCAAATCAAACTTCGCTCCCCCCCCCCCAAAAAAAAAAACCAAAACAAAATCCTGGCTATGGGCCTGTCGAGGAATGATACATTTTCAAGGAATGTAAGGATTTTATGGAATCTCGCTGTCCTACTACCAGTTACAACACCATCCCTGAAAGACAACCCCGCACTGTTTTGAATTTGGATCTATAGATAAAGCAATAACAAAGCAACTCATAGAGACAGTACTATGGACAATTCAAAGTCTCCTTCCTCTCAGTAGCACATGCACACACAACACATACCTGTCATTGCTGAATACTGGGCTGCTGGTGTGCATAGGAGAGCTGGACACGTCGGGGCAAGGAGCACGTCCCTCCTGCCGATGTTGCTGCAGGGAGTTGGGAGCCTCCTGCCAGGGCATGGCCTCCCTGCAATCTTGCAGATCTGTGGAAGGGAAGAAAGAGAAAAGGCACAGGGTCACTCAGAGGACAGCCAGGCCACACTGACATATTCATGGCACTCTGATAGTGTTGTGTAGTGCGTAGAGCAGGGCTGAGGAACACAGGTGTCTTCAGTCCAATCCTTCTACTCAGGCTACAATTCCTATTGACAGCAACCCATATGACTAGTGTTAAGAGATGATGGGAGTCGCAATCTAATAGTATTTGGACAGCCACAACATTTAACATCCCTGGATTAGAGATGAAGAGAAGACAGAATCCAATTTCAATTTATCATATAATTATGAAATTATTTTACTGAGTGTGTTTCAGAGCAGTCTTTCCCAATCTGGTGCCCTCGAGATATACTGGAGTGCAACACACAGCTTATTGTCAGATATAGGAGTTGAAGGTTTAGGAAGGTTGCAGGCTGGTAAGGAATGAGGTACGTTCAGCCCAGCTCACCTGTCTGAACAAATACTAATACTAATACTAATAATACTAATAATAATAATAATAATAATAATCTTTATTTATACCCTGCCACCATCTCCCCCAACGGGGACTCAGGGGGGCTTACATAAGGCCAAGCCCGAACAACAGATAACAATAAAATAAGATACAAATTGCAATAAAATAAACAACATAGCATTAAAGTATAAAACATATAAGCAGATAAACAATATACACAAAACATAAAGAGAAGGGAAAAAAGCAGTAAACCAAACATAATGACATATCTCCCTCTATGATCCATCTTCTGAGGAGGGCCTGCTCTTGGTCTCACCTTCCTCGCAAGCGTGACTGGTGTGGATGAGACACAGGGCCTTCTCAGTGGTGGCCCCTTGGCTATGGAACTCCCTCCCAGCAAAATTAGAGCAGCCCCCTCCCTCCTTGACCTTCAGGACAAAAGTAATAACATGGTTATGTGACCAAGCTTTTGGATAGCAAAGTTCTTAGTGCAATAAGAGAATAAGGAATAGTCGATGGACCAATGGAACGACTACAGATTTGTCTTTGGGTGGTGCAATTTTAACAACTGTTTTTAAATTGTGTTGTTTACAGGTGGGTTTTAATATAAATGTTATTGTAGGATCGATATTTAATTTTTATGCTTTATGACTAAATGTTATTTTATGTTTTAATTTGGTAAGGTTTTTAATTTATAGGTAAAGGTAAAGGTAGTCCCCTGACATTAAGTCCAGTCATGTCTGACTCTGGGGTGTGGTGCTCATCTCCATTTCTAAGCCGAAGAGCCAGCGTTGTCCGTAGACACCTCCAAGGTCATGTGGCCGGCATGATTACATGGAGCGCCGTTACCTTCCCGCCGGAGCGGTACCTATTAATCTACTCACATTTTCATGTTTTCGAACTGCTAAGTTGGCAGAAGCTAGGGCTGACAGCGGAAGCTCACGCCGCTCCCCGGAATCGAACCTGCGACCTTTCGATCAACAAGCTCAGCAGCTCAGTGCTTTAACCCACTGCGCCACCGGGGGCTCCTTTTTTAATTTATAGTTACACGTTATTGTCTAGCCAGTATGTTATGCTTTTCACATGTTTGTACGGCATTGAATTTTGCCTTTATAATGTTGGAAACTCATTTGAGTTCCCTCAGAAGGAGAAAAGAGGTATATAAATGTAGTAAATAAATAAATATTCACTTGCCCTCTCAGCCTGCCATATTTGGTAGACTTCTGCACTTCCAGTTTTGTACTTTTCCTAACAAAAATAAGTTAGTTCCTGGGACTTTGTGAATATGACCACTATGGTGACTGAAAATGAAACACTTGGGATTTTTAGATATGTAGATTGCATCCTTGCCTAGGATGCCTCCTCTTCCTAATATCTCAGCAATGTAACACCCTCTACTCCAGTCATAGTATTTTCTGTTTCTATCTGTGATTGTGATAGCTGGACAGTGAAAAAGTCTGATGGGAAGGGAATGAATTCGTATGGAAATGTGGTGCTAATGGAGAGTTCTACAGATACCATGTGCTACCAAAAATACATGGGTGCAAGCTTGAATTTTCACTAGAAGTCAAAATTACTAAATTGAGTCTACCATACTTCAGACACACCATGACAATGAGACATTGAGAACTGGTGTTTTTATTGTTTCTTCTGTTTTTATATGGCTTATATTATATGTTAATGATGTTAATTATATTTTATGTTGCTGGGGGCATTGATTGCCGACTGTAAACTGCCTTGACTCACCTTTGGGCTGAGAAAGGTAGTATATATGGTAAATAAATCATAAATAAATGGCATTACTCTGAAAAAGTGGAAGATCGTGTTATAGGTGGACAGCTGCAATTAAGCACCTTAGGTTTGTAAGATCAGAGCAAAATTATTGATGATTGAGCATCATGAATGTATCTTGCCATAAGGCAACACTGTCCTGATGGCAAATAACAACAACAAAGCCTAGTCACTCACCCCGTGGCCTTTCGGTGGCCAGTGGGAGTATATATCCATCGCTGCCTTCTAGGGGCTCGTAGCCATGCTTCCTGGCTGGTGGATACAGAGGACTGGTTGGTGAAGTAGAGCCTGAGTGGGGAGACCCCGAGTAGCCTGAGGTGTAAGGGGAAACACAGGTCTTGACCGGGGCTCTGCTATAGCCATAGGGTGCTATTGGAGGGGGGTAGACAGGACTGTAGCGAGGATAGGCAAATGCATCCAATTCCTCCTCTGTGAATTTTGACCTCTGGTGGGTTGGGTAGCCATGGCTGAGATGTGCTGCCATCATCTTGGGCTCAAAGCTGAAAGCTTGATGTTGTCCATGGGGAATGTTGTGGTGGTGGTGCCCATAGGCAGCTGGCATCAGAAGAGGCACAGGCTGCCCACCCCGGTGGAGGGGATGATGAAGCAGGGGCGGTCTTGGGCTCTCCATGCCCCACAAGTCAGGTTCCCGGTCCAGACGGAGATTGTAGAAGGAAGCAGTGGGCAGCCTTGCTTCTTCTCGAGCTGCCTCTTGGCAGTCTTGGCAAGGGCACAAGAAAGTGGGTGGGTCTTCCAGGATTAGCAGCGGCTCCTCATGCTCCCGCCGTCCGGGGCTGTGAGGGGGCAGAGGTTCGTGACTGAAGGGATAGGAATGGGGCTGGATGCCTTCGGAAAGGGAGCGACACGCTCGTCGTTTTTCCTCATAGTTCTCTGGCCGCGCATGGGAGTGCCCACCATTATAGATAGGCTGTCTCCGCTCCAGAGTGCCATCTGGTCTGTAATAGGCTACATGGTGAGGCCTCTCGGGGCTGTGGGAGCGATAACCAAGGCGACAAGAGCAATGGCGGGTCAGGCCTGGGCGTTGAGTTTGGTAGGAAAAGGGGATCGCAGGTTGACTTATGTCTGATAGTTCATCTTCCAAAATGGCGGTTTCTCTATCTTTAGAGGCAGAAGGGGAAATGATATGAGAACCGTTTCCTTCACTTGGTTGTCGAGGCTGGACGCCAAATCCTCCCAAGAGCCTGTCCAGTTCTTCCTTCTCAGCAGCAGTGGGCTGCGGCCTGGACAGCGGTGTGTTGTCCTCTGTCTTCTCAGTCAGCATAGAGGAGTGCCCTGAATCACTACTGATGGACAAGAGGCGCCCATCTTGCTGCGGAGGCGACTCTGGACTGCTGGGGCTGCCATTGGTGGAAGAGTAGTTGCTGAGGTCGCCTTTCTTCTTGATTCTGGCATAGAGGCTTCCATCCAGAGGCCCCCGAGTGTGCAAGACATCTGCAAAGAGAAGATAGACACTGCTTTACGGAGATACTTGGGGATAGCAGAGCAAGGGGGTAACTCAACAGTAATCCTCATGCAGAACTGAGAAAGTTGGCTGCCCTAATTCCCCCCTTCATCCAGTTGGGGATTCTATTTATTTATTTATTTATTAATAATAATAATAATAATAATAATAATAATAATAATACTTTATTTATATACCGCTCCATCTCTCCGAGGGGACTCAGAGAGGTTCCCAGGCAACATCACAAAACATGCAAAGTAAAAAACAACATAACCATAAGAGTAACAAAACAAAATATAAGCATAAAAATTGTCACCATATCACCGGTTGCGCCTGCGAGGACGGTGGAACCGAGAGCAGGACCTCCTCAGCAGATCTTAATGCTCTAACTGGCTCATAAAGGGAAATGCGTTCGGATAGGTAAGCTGGTCCGGAACCATTTAGGGATTTATAGGCTAAAGCCAACACTTTGAATTGTGCTTGGTAGCAAGCCGGCAGCCCATGGAGCTGGCTCAACAGGGGGATTGTATGCTCCCCTCTTTGAAAGTGGACTTAACATCTGCAGGCAATAGACTTGAGAAGTATCCCACTATTTGTATTCAATAAGGGAGGGAAGCTGCGATGGCATAATGGGTTAAACCCTTGTGTCGGCTGAACTGCTGACCAGAATGTCAGTGGTTCGAATCTGCGAGACAGGGTGAGCTCCTGTCTGTCACCAGAAGTGACTTACAGTTTCTGAAGTTGCTTCTGACACAAAAAAAAAATGCAATAAGGGGTTGCTCTCAGACCCGTAGCCGGTGGGGGGGGGGGGCTTGAGGGGCTTCAGCCCCCCCCAAAATTCTCATGGTGGTCCGCGAAAAGGCCTTACTGGTACATTATTTAAACTGTTATGTTTATTCATATCATGATCTGATCACCATGCTCAATATATCCCATATGCATAGGGGTATTGGGGTAATGATACAAAAGGTTTGCTAGGGTAGACCCTCTTTCACTCAGACTCAGCCTCCCCCCCCCCCCCCCCCCCCCCCCCCCGAATCAAAATCCTGGCTACAGGCCTGGTTGTTGTCATATTACTACATAGGAGATTGTGTAAACTACCTACTGTATATGAAGACCACAGTGCTTATGGATACTCTTCACAGAGTCCCATTACTTCCATCTGCAATTCACTATATGGTTTCCTTTGTGTCTCTGGTAAAGAGTAAAGTGTGTGTAACGTTATAAGGCATCACCTAGGATAAGGAAGATGTTCCAATTTATAGACCATACCTCCCAGAATCCCCACACTGTCTGGGAGATTCTTGGAATTGAATTTTTAAAAGGTTTTAAACCTTTGTTCCTATATATGTGGCCTGGAACATCATCCGCCTGTACACTCACTGATGTGTGCCACTAAGCCTGGAATATCTATACCAAAGTGTCTCATACCCTCAGCTCTAATGGAGAAATTGGCCAACTTCCACATACAGAAACAGGGTAGTTGCAAGCAGTGATATATACTTTTTCACTGGAGAGAAGGACCCAATTTCCTGTGAGTCTCATGGTGAAGGCATCATAAAAGCTTTGTTTGGACCAAACCGTAGCCTCCAGTTATTGTCTGCCTTCAAGTCATTCCCACTGTCTGAGGATCCTAAGCCAAACCTATCTTGGCAAGATCTATTCAGAAGAGGTTTGTCATTGTTCATCCAGTGGGTTTCCAGGACTGACTCAAGCTTGCCTAGTGGATTTCCAAGGCAGAGTGGCATTTGAACCCTGGTTTAGAGTCATAATCCAGTGCTCAAACCACTACACCATGCTGGCTCCCCAGCCTTCACTGATAGCATGCTTTAATGAATGTGTTGACATTGAGGCTCTGGCCCCTTCCACACAGTGGAATACAATCCCATATTATCTGCTTTAAGCTGGAATATATGGCAGTGTGGACTCAGATAACCCAGTTCAAAGCAAATATTGTGGGATTTTTCTACCTTGATATTCTGGGTTGTATGGCTGTGTGGAAGGGCCCTCTGTCCAGCAGAGGGAGACAGTTGCCTGATTCTTGGCCAGATTCTTGGCCAAAGGTCCATTTCCTCCCATTTGTATTTGCGTACATGTCTAGGCTGGGAAGCCATTAGTCATCCATCCATTAATCGTCATGATGCTCCTGCCTCAGCATTTATGACTTTCTGTCCCTATAAAAATGACATCCCAAAACACAAGTCTCCTTTCTCCAAACATCAAGGCTTGCAAGGAAGGCAGGAGGGTTTGTACTCCATCCTGTTGGCCTTTTACTCTGGCTTCTGATGCAGGCAGGCTACAACTATTAAATTGCCATTTGATGACTCCCTTTGGTATTTATTTATTTTAGTTCTTAACGAGTTTACTCTAAGAAGACATTAGGAGGAAACAGTAATCAGGGTAGACTGAGCAAAAGCCAGCTGTTAGAATTGCAATGCCCGGGAGCAGAAAACAAGTCTGTAGTCCAGATGTTCATGTGGGGGAGAGAAATCCCATTTTTATCTGCTCTCTCTCTCTTTGTGTGTGTGTATGTATCATATGTGCCCCTAGGAGCTTTCAAAACTTAAACAAAAACCCAAGGGAGGGAGCAGGGACTTCAGTCTGGGGTAAGGGAGATCGGCCAAATTCAGATCTGCAAACTCAACTGAAACACAGACTTGACTCGGAATCTGTCTCAAGCCCCGTCGTCAAAACAAAACAAAATATCAACAGAATGTGTTTATGCTGTTTGTGCTTAAAAACTACAATATATTCTGGGCCAAAATAACCATCATCTTTCAAGTGGCATCACCAGGGCAGCATGGGATTGTATGCGTGTGTATCAAACCACATTGGTTGCCATCATTAAAAGCTCTGGCATCAAAATGATAATCTGAATACTTATTTATTCTCACCCCTTTGTCTGGTTTTCACTGGTGTTGCTCAAAAAATCACATTTCATAGTGATCTGAGCCATCTTTAAGAAGCTTAGCTTCCCAATATGTCAAATTCTGCACCTGGTACCCAGTGTTTTCTTTTTCCTGTGCTTACATAGAAACAAAGAACATACAAAGCCTGAAATTCTGTGGACTGATCTCATTATGCCAGCAGAGGCATGGAGGTGTGGTGACAAGATCAAAACATTAAAAAAGCAAGAAAAAACCAGGAATGGGGAAATAACTCTTGTCCAGGGTATCCAGGGTAGGGGAAATAACTCTTGTCTGTTTGAAGCAAGTGTGAATGTTGCAATTGACCACCTTGATTAGCATTGAATGGCCTTGCAGCTTCAAAGCCTGGCTGCATCCTGACTGGGGTGAATCCTTTTATGGGAGGTGTTAGCTGGACCTGATTTATTTCTCCTACCCTGGATATTCCACAGATATATAAACCCCACTTGCCTCGTTTTCAACAGACCTCATAACCTCTGAAGATGCATGCCATAGATGTGGGTGAAATGTCAGGAGAAAATGCTTCTGGAACATGGCCATACAGCCCGGAAAACTCACCGCAATCTATATCTATATAAACCCCACTTGCCTAGTTCTCAACAGACCTCAAAACCTCTGAGGATACCTGCCATAGATGTGGGTGAAATGTCAGGAAAGAATGCTTCTGAAACATGGACATACAGCAACCCAGTGATTCTGGCCATGAAAGCCTTCGACAACACATTGTATACATAGCCATATACACAGATGACCTTTTACTGTCTTCTGCCAACACTCTCCTCCCTGTTGTTGCTGCTGTGTAACCCTTCACTAGTAGAATGGACTGCTATGTTGTTTTGCAGTGTACCACCTGGATTCTAGCAATTGACTTGCCAATATAAAGGGGGCAACAGGGGACTAAGTGCTATGAAGAATTTGGAGGAATGCCTCACGAGGTTCAGGGCCCACATACCTTCCAGACTATCCTCATGGTGCAAATTAAAGTTTTCATAGGAGTCCCAGCGAACTATAGGGTCAGAGATGCTGTAATCCACTCCAACGGCAGGATTGTTCCTATAGGCTTCTCGACCTGTGAAGTGACAGACAGCAAGAAAATATTAATAATAAAAGAAATAAGTGGAGATAGTAGATAATATTAACTTTTATTTAAGTGTTAATGAATTGTGACTGATACAGGTATTGAGCTTACTAACAGTCACTTGCCAGTCCCACTTTGGTTCACAGCCATCAATGCTATTTGAAATACAGTGTGAGATGCAGTCACTAAGGCCTGGTGCCCTTCTGAACACTGCTGCACAAGCATGTATTGCAAGTGGGTGGCTGTGACTTTAACCCCATCCTGTCTTTGGGCCTCAGTTGGAGACTCACTTCCAAGCAACTCTGCATCAAATTTCTGAAGGTATTGCGGAAGCTGTGCATCACCCACCTTTGATTTTCTCTGGACTAGAAGAGAAGACAAATTCCACACTTGCTTCAAAGGGGAATCGTTCATCTGGAAAGAAAAGGGAGTAAATACTGTATATACTTGAGTATAAGCCTAGTTTTTCAGCCCCTTTTTTAGGCTGAAAAAGTCCCCCTCGGGTTATACTCGAGTCAATGTTATTTTTATTATTATTATTATTATTATTATTATTATTATTTCATTTCATTTATTATTTTATTCTATTATTATTACATTTATCATTTTACTCTATTATTATACATTTATTATTTTACTGTATAATTGTTATTGCTACATTCATTATTTTATTCTTTTTATTATTATTGTTATTATTACATTTATTATGTTACTCTCTTTATTATTATTGAAAGGATACGTAAGCACATTTACAATGAAGAAGGTAAATAATCATTTAATCAGAGCTGGACAGTCTTATCTTAAATTATCATTTTTGTAAATATTCAAAAATATATAACCTACTGATTCCTCAATTAATGTAATTTAATTGGTATCTATTTATATTTTGAAATTTACCAGTAGCTGCTGCATTTCCCACCCTCGGCTTATATTCGAGTCAATCAATTTTCTCAGTTTTTTGCGGTAAAATTAGGTGCCTTGGCTTATATTCGGGTCGGCTTATACTCGAGTATATACGGTAACTGAGTTGCAAAAAGCCACAGAGATGGCTTATCTGAAATATAGGTCTCTTCCTCTGTTTCCAGAACTCTCACCTCTCCAAGCTTCATCCAGCTCATCTTTGCTAAACCAGAGTTGGGTGCTATGAATGGTACACGTGTGGAATTGGACACGGAATACGACGTCCCGCTCATTTCCCTGGAGCTGTTTATGGTAGCATTTCACCTGAGAGGAAGAGGAGGAACAGAGTCAAGACAGCACAAGTATCCCCTCTGGCATGCATACATTTACATGAAAACATGCACAAACACATGCCCAGAAGGTGGAGGAAGAAAAGTTCTTTATTTTGTGAATTATCTTAGATACTAAATTGTTAGCCACACTCACCATGACATCCCCCTTCAGGAGCAAGGCTGGCTCCAAGGTGATGCATAGCTTCTGAGTCCCACCTGTGCCATGGAGGCTGCTGCAAGGCACAAATAAAAACAAGCAGAACTGAGATTGTGTTTGAAATGGGCCTCTTTCTCAGAACTGTTCACTGGTTGATAAGCCCTACAGAAAACCCATGCTGATACTCACTAGATCCCAGAGGTGTAGACCAGTTGCATGGATTGGTAGATCTTCAAGAAAGGTTGGTAACCTATTACAGGAAAGGCGGGTTATTATATAGAACAGGCTGAAAGGATATCACATTTTTGTGGAGGAAGGTCAAGTTGTCCTTCCCCATCACTGTAAATATTATTTATTTATTTATTTATTTATTTATTTCGGTTTCTTCTACTCCGCCCTTCTCACCCCGAAGGGGACTCAGGGCAGCTTACAAAGGCACAATTCAATGCCAGCATCACATAACAGTAGTAAAACAAAATAACATCAATTAAACAGTTGAAGAAAGAAAGGACAACACACCTTCATACACAAGTATGCCCAAGAACAGATGGGAGATTTGGCAGACTGTATTTCACTGGGGTGGGCAAGTGGGTGATCACGATATTACTTTGCAACCTCACAGCACTTACCTCCTCCAGCCTCAAAAGTAGGGATAGCCGGGAGCAGGACGTGATGCAGAAAAAGTGTATTGCTGTTCATCTTGATTGTGCCTGAGAGTAACCCACTGAAATACTGGATGTATCTGTCCACAGAGGAAGGAATGATGGGTCAGTCTCAAGTTATCAGTCACACTCACAGGAGATCTCAAAGAAATCATTGGCTAATAATAATAATAATAATAATAATAATAATAATAATAATAATATACTTTATTTACATTCTGCTCTATCCCCACAAGAAAACGCAGGGAGGATTACAGTACACATATATGGCAAACATTCAAGGCTGTGATACAATTAACAAAGACAGACAGTACATAAAAAGAGGTAAAGGCTTCCCACATTTTTCCATCTCGGGCATCTGGAGGCTGTGCTCCACTCTAGCCACAGGGGGTGCTGTTGCTCCATCTTCCATGCCAATTAGCTTTGTTGTCTTTAGACGCTCTCCGATCAAATTGCTGGTATGTCCGCATGGGCATCTTTTATTACCTCCCCGCTAAAAGCGGTACCAATTTATCTACTCGCATTACTGTTTTTGAACTGCTAGTGAGCAGAAGCTGGGCTGATGGTTGAGAGCTCACCCCAACCCGGGCTTGAACTGTCAACCTTTTGATTGGCAAGATTTTCTGCAGCTAGTGAGTAGGTATACAACCTCACACTATTGCTTAGCCTTAACTTTCTGTCATTGGAGTATATGTCCCCCCCTCCCTTGTGGGAAAGCTTGATTCCACAACCCCCGTTTTAATGAGCCTTCCTTCGCAAATAACCTGCTTCTCCTTTATCTCACCCAAGTTTTTTTAATCAGTTTTTAATTAGTTTCTCTTTTAATCATTACATGTAGCCCACCCATTGTCACTGTGATTGTGTTTATTGTAATTTTATATCCTTATGCATTTATATGTTTTATGTAATTATGATGTTGTTGTATATTGATGGCGTTTTCGGTTTTATTCTGCTGTAATTTGTTGTTTGGGCTTGGCCTCATGTAAGCTGCCCCAAGTCCCCATTGGGGAGATGGTGGCGGCGTATAAATAAAGATTATTATTATTGGGTTGTTGTAGGTTTTTTCGGGCTATATGGCCATGTTCTAAAGGCATTCTCTCCTGATGTTTCGCCTGCATCTATGGCAAGCATCCTCAGAGGTAGTGACTACCTCTGAGGATCCTCTAGGAGAAATGCCTCTAGAACATGGCCATATAGCCCGAAAAAAACCTACAACAACCCAGTGATTCCAGCCATGAAAGCCTTCGACAATACATTATTATTATTATTATTATTATTATTATTCCGCTGTGCTAAGGTCTAGCTTAGAGATTAGCAGTCCTGACACTTCCTCTTCTCACTTTGTATGGGAAAAGTGTAACTCCCAATTTCCTTTGGTGGTATTCCCTAGATGTCCCCTGGCCCTTAATGAGGAATTGTTTTGAATATAATTACTTTTAATTGGTTTATTTTTCATGTATTATTTTATTTAATAACATGCAATGATTTTTATTTTATTTTTAAGTGGAAATGAATCTCACCTCTTCTGGGAAGGTTGCAGGGAGGCTGCCACTTTGTCCTCACAGAACTTGCGCATGGTCAGGGTGCTGAGGGCCTGGTCTGCACTGAAGAGAGAAGAGAGAAAGAAAGGCATGTGTGCACATGTGTGCTTGCATCCACAGCTTTGTGTCACTGAATGTAGAAGTCATGCTATACCTGGAGTCTACCCACAGGGCCTGCACCTAAGCGAGACAATTCTGGAGAAAGGAGGAGAAGGAGATTTGGGAGAAGGAGAGAGAGAAAAAATGCAAGTGAGGAAGAGAGAGAGAGAGAGAGAGAGGAAAGTGGCTTCACAGAGGAGTTATGATGGTTTGCACACAATTACAAACTCTTACTGCCCACATGCTTTCCCTGTTGAGTACCTTGCAGAGATTTTGCTGTAGTGCATATAAGCTGCTACAATGACGCCTGTCTTCCCCTTGTTGCCCTAGGAGAAAAAGAGAAAATATGTAAAACATTGGTACTTTTTCCAAAAAGTTGTCATCTTCAAGAGGGGGAATAAGTAAAAAAGGTTTTCCTAGGAACTAGCTTGGAGAGGGAGATAGAAAGTTGAATGGCAACTAGAAATATTGTTGTTCTACTGCATTCTAATATCTCGTCTCCTCCACCCCACATTTATTTGTTTCTTTTCACCTCTTCCACTCACTCAATTGGGGGCAGGGGAGTTTATTCATGCACAACCCATCCATGACCATTTTCAGAAATGTAAAGAAGCCCAAGATCTATCAATAAGGCAGAAGATCTAACTGAAAAGATGTGCAGATATTGGTTTTAGCTTGCATGCCACCCTTCAAAACACAATGAGATTTCTGTTAGCTATGGAATTTTACAACTTGGACTGTGGCACAGCTGGTTGGGAGTCAGCTGCATTAAGATCACTACTGACCGAAAGGTCATGCGTTCGAAGCCAGCCCGGGTCAGAGTGAGCTCCCGACCAAAATTGTGTAGCTTGTTGTCAACCTTTGCAACCCAAAAGACAGTTGCATCTATCAAGCAGGAAAATTAGGTACCACTTTGTGGGGAGACTAATTTAACTGCTTTACGAGGCCATAAAAATACTCCAGGAAGTATGCAAGTATGCAAAGAATGAGGAAGTGACAGCTCCCCTGCTGGCCAGAAGCTGGAAAGTTAATAGCCTCTGAGTGTCTGTCTATATATGTTGTGTGTCTATGGCATTGAATATTTGCCATGTATATGTACATTGTAATCTGGCCTGAGTCCCCTGCGTGGTGAGAAGGACGGAATATAAATACTGTAAATAATAATAATAACAACAACAACAATAACAACAACAACAAATTTATATTCTGCTCTATCTCCCCGAGGGGACTCAGGATGGATTCCACCATATAAAGACACAAAGGCAAACATTCAATGCCTAGAAACAACACAGAGATACACAGATAAAGGTAAAGGCTTCTCCTTTCATCTCCGGCTCTGGTGGTGGTGGGCATTTCCATTTCTAAGCCGAAGACCCTGCATTGTCTATAGACACCTCCTAAATCATGTGACTGGCATGACTGCATAGAGCACCATTTACCTTCCCGCCTATACCTATTGATCTATTTACATTTGCATGTTTTTGAACTGCTAGGTTGGCAGAAGCTTGGGCTAACAGCAGGAGCTCATCCTGTCCTGTGGATTTGGTCAGCAAGTTCAGCAGCTCAGCGGATTAACCTGTTGGGCCACCGCAGCCACTACTCATGCCCTTAATGGATTATTTCTTTCCTTAAAATATTTTTATTCTTCCTTTTTATTATGAGATCTCAGGATGCCAAGAAGATTGAGTCATATAAACAATGCAAACAAATATAAACAATGGAATCTAGGAGTAAATTGGCACAAAATGTAAGACTAAACACTAGATGGTGCTGAGTTGACTGAGAGGAAAAATCACCCAAAACAGCAAAATAATAATAATCTATATAAATAAAAATGTAATGTAATGTTTGTGGGATTAACTTAACTGAGTTAAGCTTGAGTCTTGAAGTTCCTCCATTCTTACCACCTTTGGTGGAGGGGGTTCTTATGAGCATACTTAATTTCATGGCTTGCAGAAATTAAGTATACTCTTTCAGGAGTGTAAAGCTATTATTAAAAAGCCTATTTCCCAGATGTTGCTTCCTATTAATTCACATCATTCATCCTTTACTTCACCATATGAACAGCAAACCCTGCTACATTTCCATCTATAACAACAAACAGGATGGGAGCTGCCCTCTCCATGCTGTACCTTGCAGTGAAGCACAACAACATGTTGTGGGTCTGAGGTCAGCCAGGTCTCCATGGCTTTGCAGATGGAACAGATTTTGTCCAGTGGTGGGGCATGCAGGTCCGGCCAGCCAAAATCTTGCACCTGTGCAAGGAAAGAGAGAAAAAATGTTAGGGATAAGAAGGATGTATACATGGCACTAGATGGAGGAGGGAAATCCAGAAGTCTTTACTATGGAAGAACCTCACATTCTGCTGCAAAATATTAGAATATACTATGCAAAAATGAAATGCATTTCCATCAACCCCCAGAAATCCCAACAGCTGGTAAACTGGCTGGGATTTCTGGGAGTTGTAGACCAAAACACCTGAGGATCCACAGGTTGAGAACCACTGATCTATGAGCAGAGGCGGCCCTAGGTAATTTTCAATGGTAAGCAAACAGTATTTTGGTGCACACCCCCCCCCCCCAACCAATCACTGATATATATTTTCTGTTCGTCGTGGGAGTTCAGTGTGCCATATTTAGTTCAATTCCCTCATTGGTGGAGTTCAGAATGCTCTTTGATTGTAGGTGAACTATACATCCCAGTAACTACAACTCGCATATGTCAAGGTCTATTTTCTCCCAAGAGTGCCTCAAGAGCGCTCCTGGGCAAAATCAACTATACTGCAAATGCTTACTTTGTGTAATGGGTTGAGCCGCCCCTGTCTATGCGATTTGGAGGATCGAGAGTTGTAGAAATCCCTTTCTGTTCCAATTTCTCTGAATCCCTTGTTCCACTAGATTTTAAAGTGTTTATCAGACAAATTTTATGTTTACAGGGACCCCTTTTCCAAACTTTGAAGACCAAAAACGCAACTTAAAACATCACTATATAACAAAATTTGGTGGGAAAATCCTGTTGCTGGTTTGAAAGTGTTATTTCCTGTTTAATTGTGTGGTACTTACTCTGAAAGTAGTTGTTATACACCAGAAACTTTGCTTTGGTGGCTGCCACCAACTATATTGAATTTCTATGAGATATTTATTGAAAAATTATAGCAAAATGTGGTGCAGGATGTCCCTCAAAAACAAAGTTTTTGCGTTTAAATATACCTTTTCCATGTTTTAATGATAGACCCAATTAGGAAATGGCATTTATAACCCAGGAACAAAAATCATGTTACACAGTGTAATTGTCATTGGTTAGAATCCTGTAGTGGACTTAAAAAGGTAAAGGTAGTCCCCTGACATTAAGTCCAGTCATGTCTGACTCTGGGGTGTGGTGCTCATCTCCATTTCTAAGCCGAAGAGCCAGCGTTGTCCGTAGACACCTCCAAGGTCATGTAGCCGGCATGACTGCATGGAGCACCGTTACCTTCCCGCTGGAGCGGTACCTATTGATCTACTCACATTTGCATGTTTTCGAACTGCTAGGTTGGCTTAGGTATTAATAAATTGATTGATATTAGTAGTAATTAAAATTGGGCAGTTCCATTATATCTATATCCAGTAAAGTGATTGATATGCACTGGGACATTCCTGATGGCATTCCATTACACAGTTCAGTATCAGAAGTTGACAGCACCTCTGCCAAGGAGCTAAGTACAGTAAGTGTACTATTATATACCACACATTGTAATAGAAAATTCTGGTCTATATTAGTGAATTTGAAGAAGCATGGCCATGGCTCATTAGTAAACCCCCATTTATCTCTGATGGGTCAAGTACTGTACCAACAGTTAGAAAAGTGGAACCCAGTTGGCTTTTTAAAAAACTTACAAAATGTAAGACTAAACACTAGATGGTGCTGAGAGGAAAAACCACCCAAAACAGCAAAATAATAATCTATATAAATAAAAATGTAATGTTCGTTTGTGGAATTGACATAACTCAAAAACCACTAAACGAATTGACACCAAATTTGGACACAATACACCTATTAGGCCAACGAATGACCATCACTTATAAAAACATTGAAAAACACAGCAGAGGAGACTTAAAAAGCCAAAAAACAAAAAAAAAATGACAACGCATGCGCAAAACCACATATATACACAAACACACATATATACACATATACACAAATATATACACATACATATGCATATATACACACAAAACACATATACACAGACTGGGCCACAGCAACGCGTGGCAGGGGACGGCTAGTCTACATAAATAAAAATGCAATGTTAGTTTGTGGGATTAACAGAACTCAAAGACCACTAGAGGAATTGACATCAAATTTGAGCACAAGACACCTAACAACTCAATGTATGTCCTTCACTAAAAAAAATGATTTTGTCATTTGAGAGTTGTAGTTGCTGGGATTTATAGTTCACCTACAATCAAAGAGCATTCTGAACACCACCAACAATGGAATTGAACCAAACTTGGCACACAGTTCTCCCATGACCAACAGAAAATACTGGAATGGTTTGGTGGGCAGTGTCTTTTGGTTTTGGAGATGTCCCCACATCCAGAGATCACTGTGGACTCAAACAATGATGGATCTGGGCCAAACTCTACATGAATACTCAATATACCCAAATGTGAACACTGGTGGAGTTTGGGGAAAATAGAATCTTGACATTTGGGAGTTGTAGTTGCTGGGATTTATAGTTCACCTACAATCACAGAGCATTCTGAACACCACTGACTATAGAATTGGGCCAAACCTTCCACACAGAACCCCCATGTGGGCCACAGCGATGCGTGGCAGGGGACGGCTAGTAATCTATATAAATAAAAATGTAATGTTTGTGCGATTAACATATCTCAAAAAACCACTGGACGAATTGACACCGAATTTGGACACAATACACCTAACAGGCCAATAAATGACCATCATTCATAAAAACACTGAAAAACACAGCAGAAGAGATTGCAAAAGTTAAAAACCAAAAAATACATTACAGCACATGCACAAAACCACACATGTACACAAACACACATATAAACAGATGTATACACACACATATACACATACACACACACATATATATACACAAAACACCTATACACAGACTGGGCCACAGCAATGCGTGGCAGAGGATGGCTAATAATAATAATAATAATAATAATAATAATAATAATAATAATAATAATAATAAAGCAACAGCAGCAACAGGTCAAAAGAGCAAGCCAGGGATTGAACATGTGCAACTTAGATCTATCAAACTGCAAGTCGCCAAAAAGCATGAGATGCCTGCACATACATTTAATGACCCAGAGCAAAAAGACACTTTGTACTAATTATACAACAACACATCAGAATATTTCATCATTATGCTATGAGATCAAAGAGGCAGGGCAGGGAGGGATCACTCATCCAGACTCAGGATAGGTCCCAACAAGGCCAGCAATCAGTCTGTCAAGCACAGTGCCAACATACTCAATAGCAGAAGTGCCACCCATTTTGGCACCTGCTATCCCTAAAATGTTACGACTTGTCAATTCATGGATTCATATTCCTATTTTGCTCTGCTCAAATTGCCATTGACCATTTCATCTGAACTTGTGCTTCACTGACTTTTTGTTTGGGCAGAAGTTGGAAAAAGGAATTTTTTTGCGACTTTAACTCCCAAAATCCATCAGAAGCAGAGCCAGTGATCATGATCAATGGAGGAGCCTGACAGATGTAAGCTAGACCCTCTCCACCTTTTCCAAGCTCTATATGTTAAATAAGAGTTGCAGTGACCCAGGAATAAATTCTGGGTTAATTTTTGGACTAAAATGTCTAGACTTGTGCATGCATATACACAGTTGTTTCAACTCAGATGAGCTCTCCCGTTAATATAAATAGCATGCTCCTCTCCTTCTTACCTTTGGGTTTAGTCTGATGATGTCATGCCGTTTCTCTGACAGGTTCAGGAGCTACAGAAAGAAAGAGACTTCTGTTGGCCTCCATGATTTGCAAGGGACTCTTTAGCAAGGGCTGTTAACCAATCTTGCCTTTTACTTTACTGATCCAAATTCCTCAACTGACAAAAATGAATGATGGTGCACTTCTAGATTCCATTTTGCTTCCACTCCTGAAATTATCAAATTTCACCTTGACTTCCTTGCATCCACAATCCACCTATGAGATTTTTTAAGCATCAAATGTTGGCAATGCCACCTTCCACTCTTGTTCTTACTTGTACTTTCTTTTCCAGGGCTTGACCTGCTAGTAGGCAGAGGGAGGCGATTGTTGTAGGCAGCAGAACTGGGAAGGAGTAGCAAGATTTTGGAAGAGAGCTGTGTGTTGTCTTCCATATTCTATTAAACTAATATGTTGCCTTGTCCAGTGCTCTAGAAAGAGAGTCCTTTCAAGCAACGGCATTATACAGCTATGACTGAGTTCCAACCTATGAACCCCCTGAATAGCTTAAGGGAAGAGCACTCATAATTCTAAACCAGAGAGCTCTACTGCCTCTCCAAACTACATATCCCAACAGCTACAGCATAAGGGCACAGTAATTAAAATGGACCATAGTCCTGTAACTGTGTAGTGCAAAATAGCTCGGAATCTGATACAAGGCCAATCAGCTTTTGTACATGGAAATAGCATCTCTGGGTTGCCATGAGTTTTTTTTTGGGTTGTATGGCCATGTTCCAGCAGCATTCTCTCCTGACATTTCACCTGCATCTGTGCCTGGCATCTTCAGAGGTTCTGTTGGCAGTGAGACAAGTGGAGTGTATATATATCTGTCCAGGGTAGAAGAAAGAACCCTTGTCTGTTAAAGCAAGTGTAAATGCAGCTTCATGGCTACTTAATGCTATTCAAGTTTGCCAACTGCGACATTCACACTTGCTTTAACAGATAAGGGTTCTTTCTCCCACCCAGGACATTTCACGATATATATACACTCCATTTGGTTCATTGCCAACAGAACCTCTGAAGATGCTAGCCACAGATGCAGGCAAAACACCAGGATTTTTTTTTTGTCGTGTAAGGAGCAACTTGAGAAACTGCAAGTCACTTCTGGTGTGAGAGAATTGGCCGTCTACAAGGACGCTGCCCAGGGGACGCCCAGATGATTTTGATGTTTTTATCATCTTTGTGGGAGGCTTCTCTCATGTCTCCGTATGAGGAGCTGGTGATGGTAGAGGGAGCTCATCCGCCTCTCCCCGGATTCGAACCTGCAACCTGACGGTCTTCAATCCTGCTGGCACAGGGGTTTAACCCACTGCGCCACTGGGGGCTCCTAACACCAGGAAAATGCTTTTGAAACATGGCCATACAACCTGAAAAACTCACAGCAACCCTGTGATTCTGGCCATGAAAGCCTTTGACAACAAATACCATCTTGTTCTTTGCCTAAAGCATTTTTGTGTGTGTCAGGAGCAACTCGAGGAAAAGCAAGTCACTTCTGGTGTGAGTGCATAAAAACACATTAGTCTGGCCTTGCGTCTTTTTCCAAAACAGCTTCATACACTGCAGTACCAAGGATGATTCATTACCCTAGTTTTCCCATTCTTTTGCAAAGTTGCATTCAAAATATAGTCTGACTCTAGACTGCAAGATGTACAAACCTTCTTTGTGTTGACAGCTTGCACATCTTCATAATCAAGAAGATGCTAAGGTTGTATTTTAGATGGGCTTATGACAGATTTGGAGATATTTAATGTCTCCTTCTATTCCACCTCAGAAGAGGTATACCTTATTTAGAGGGATGGTCAAATTCCTGCTTTTAAGATGTATTGGGACTGCAGTTCCTAACATTCCTCACCAAGGGCTGATGGTAAGTGGCAGTTGGACAACACCAGGAGGGTTGCATTTGACCCTCTCCTGCCCTGAACACGTTTTGATTCTAAACATCTAGATTATAATAATGGCTCCCCATGAATGTTTGCCCCCTTTTCTTGGACTGTTTACCATGTACTTGTCCTCATGCTTGGATTTTAGCATCTGGGCTACCTCCCGGAGATTGCCACGATAACGTTGCTCCTCCAAGGCAGGGGGGAAGAAGACTGAAATGATGCGCTCAGTGATGTAGATGAGGTCAAAGTCATATTTGCGTTCCATTACGTGGTCCAAACTGAAACTCCTAAAGAAAGGAAGTAATAAGCTTTTAAGGGCCCATCGTGGGTGTTTTCCAATCATAAGAAACCCAGCACATCATAAAACATCAGAAACCCAAAAAAGAAAAGAAGGAATGGGAAACAGCAAGCTATAAAAAGAGGTATTCTTCTGTGGTTCCAAATCTGCTTATTAGTTTTGCATTGTCTGTATACAAGGATAAAATTGAGCATTCAAAATCCACTTCCCTGGAACTTCCACACAATAGACCTAGTCTTTCTCTCCTGAACAACAGAAACCAACTCTGCTTCATTTTCTGCTATGACAGAAAATAATTTAGCAGTCTTGCATGAGAAGTCGAAGTATGAAATGCTATATGGCAGCTGGTAGAGATTCCTTTAAATGATCCTCTTCCCAGTTAATTCTCCCATTGAACCCCAATGGGAGAATATTTAAAGCTGCAGTCCTTAGTTTACTTGTAGATGCCAGTTTCCTACATACTTGGTTTGACAGTGGGAAAGCCGATTCTAAATGCTCAGCTTTCTATCTAAAGATTAGTGCTAAATTTGTGCAAAGATTTGTGCTCAAGTGTAAGCTGGGGTCCATTCTGCATGCATACACATCACTCAGTGAATTCTTATTCCTGGACTCGGGGCCCTTCCAGACAGTCCCTATATTCCAGGATCTGATCCCAGGTTTTCTGATGGATTATATGAGTCCCCACTGCTAGATAATCTGGAATAAACAGAAAACCTGAGATCAGATCCTGGGATATAGGGCCTGTCTGGAAGGGTCCTCAGGCTGTATCTACACTGCTGTACACAATCCAGATTATCAATTTTAAATTGGATTATATGGCAGTGTGGACTCATAATCCAGTTCAAAGCAGATAATGTGGATAATCTGCTTTGATGATCTGGATTATATGGAAGTGTAGATCCAGGCTCAGTTTGTTAGATCTGTTTTAAAAAGCGTATTTGTCAATAAGTTCTTAATTAAATAATTTGGGAACTTACCACAACATTTAAAAAATATATTAAGAGTGTAATCATGTTCTCAAGATTTGGGTGGAATGGCATTAAGATAAGATAGCAGCCTATTACATGGAGAATTGCTTGAACGGGAGATATGTGTACACCCTTCCATATCACCATGTAACCTCTGTGATGTTATTGGGCTAAATTCTCTGAAACAGGAGGTTTGGAAATGTGTCTGCCTTAGAAATGAGCTTACATAACTGTGGCTAAGCTGACTCAGAATTGGGCCTTTCCTAATTCTGAGGTCATTATGTTTCCTCTTGGGTCTTTCTTCCTACTGAACATGACCAATTGGAATTGGTCTCAGCATTCCAGATGCATGCCTCTGATAATTAAGGAAAGGCATTTGGATGAATGCCTTCTGAAGGCTGCTTGTAGAAGTTCCAGCGCAACACACAGCCGCTACAGACGCCCTGCCACAGGGTGGGGTAGATCAAGAGCTGGCTGGGACATTCTCTGCTCCTATATTGTCCCATCCCATTCTTCCTTTCCTTTCAATGCAGGACAGAGAGACTCACCGGGGCAGCGTGTTTCGTTGCTTTGCAGTGTTGAGGGACTTGGTGGAACCCTGAAAATGAGCCAAAATGAGAATTAAGGAGGTCAGGATTTCATGAAAACGTTTCTGGATAGCAGTACTTCCAAAAACAAAAATAATAACAACAACAACAACAACAACAACAAACTTTATTTGTATCCCGCCACCATCTCCCCTATGGGGACTCAGAGCGACTTACATGAGGCCAGGCCCGAACAACAAATTACAATAAAGAGAACCAAAAACACAACCGAAAACGCAAACAATAAACAACATCATAATTACATAGAACATATGAACACATAACAATATAAAAATTTCAATAGACACAGACACAGAGACAATGGGCGGGCTACATATAATTACTAAAACAACTAATTAAAAACTCAGACAAGATAAAAGAGAGAAGCAGATAATATGCGGAGTAGTACTCATCATGGCAGGGATTGTGGAATCAATCTTTCCCACAAGGGGGGGGGGGATGTCTTCTCTAATGACAGAATTATCATCTAAACATCATCTAAACAAGGAAGAAGCAAGGGGTGAACAGTGACTGAAAACGACCCTAGCTTGTATGAACATGAAGTGCAGAGAGCTTCATAGAATCATAGAATTGGAAGAGACCTCGTGGGCCATCCAGTCCAACCCTCTGCCAAGAAGCAGGGCAATCACATCACCCCTAACAGATGGCCATCCAGCCTCTTTTTAAAAGCTTTCTTAGAAGGAGCCTCCACCACACTTTGGGGCAAAGAGTTCCACTGCTGAACAGCTCTCACAGAAAGTTCTTCCTAATGTTCAGGTGGAATTTCCTTTCCTGTAGTTTGAAGCCATTGCTCTGTGTCCTAGTCTCCAGGGCAGCAGAAAACAAGCTTGATCCCTCCTCCCTATGACTTCCTCTCACATATCTATACATGGCCCTCATCATGTCTTCTCTCAGACTTCTCTTCTTCAGGCTAAACATGCCCAGCTCTTTAAACTGCTCCTCATAGGGCTTGTTCTCCAGACCCTTGATCAATTTAGTCATCCTCCTCTGGACACATTCCAGCTTGTAAATATCTCTCTTCAATTATGGTGCCCAGAATTGGACACAATATTCCAGGTGTGGTCTAACCAAGGCAGAATAGAGGGGTAGCATGGCTTCCCTGGATCTAGACACCATACTCCTATTTATGCAGGCCAAAATCCCATTGGCTTTTTAAAGCTGCAGCATCACATTGTTGGCTCATGTTTAACTTGCTGTCCACAAGGACTCCAAGATCTTTTTCACATGTACTGCTCTTTAGCCATACATCCCCCATTCCAGTCCAACCCTCTGCTATTTCATTTTTTTCTGCCTTAGTGGAGTATCTTGCATTTGTCCCCATTGAACTTCATTTTGTTAGTTTTGGCCAATCATCTCTGTAATATGTTAAGATAATTTTGAATTCTACTCCTGTCTTCGTAAAGTCACCACCAGTAAGGTTTCCAATTGGGAGATGATTGATCATTACAAAACTACAGAGGCCTTTGGATTTATCCAACACAGGTCTTCTTACATTCTTATATTCTTACCACTGACAATAATCAGGAATTCACCACTGCTGTGTTGTTATCACCAATAACAAGCATGTTAAAAATCAAAACAGAAAAATTCAGAACACTGGATTTGGGAGGAAAAAACTTGATCTCAGTTAGTTCTGAGGGTCATGCACTTGAAACAGTACGTAATATTGCCACCAGCCTCTTTTTAATCTGATGAAGATTAGAGTTAATGCTATAATAAATCTTATTACAAATGCTTAGGCTGTAATGAGTTTGTGGACCTTTAAAGGTGATGCAAAATTCTTTCCCCCTTAAAATATAAACTTAGCGATTATATCCACAGCCTACTTCCCTGGGCTTTTTCTTGGGGGAGAGGGTAGAGCACGGTCCTACAATTTGCTCTCTTTGTTAATCTGAAAAGAAAGCAACTTTGGGGTTATTCCCCCCCCCCCACCAAAGAGGTCAGTGTCTTCATAGTGAAGAGATATGTGGTGCCCCCTTCTTTTGACCAGCATTTTTTTACAAACCAGACGTTCAGGTGTTCAGCAGTTGGGGAAGCAAGCTTGCATACAAGCAGCATTAGGATCACAGGCTTGGGAGGAGCCTTATAGCAAATTAAGTGTTCAGCAACATGCTCATAACATTATGTAACATGATTTTTGTTCCTGAGTTAATAATAATAATAATAATAATAATAATAATAATTATATTCCATTCTATCTCCCTGAGGGGACTCTGGGCAGATTACAGAACACACATATGGCAAATATTCAATGCCGTTATACCATTAACAAGGACATGTGATACATAAACAGAGGTATAGGCTTTCCCATCTCTGGCATCTGGAGGTTGTGCTTGACTCCGGCCATGAGGTGGTGCTGTTGCTTTTTAAAGCTGCAGAATCACATTGTTGGCCCATGTTTAACTTGTTGTCCACAAAGACTCTAAGATCTTTTTCACATGTACTGCTGTCAAGCCAGGAGTGCCCCATTCTGTATCTTTGCATTTCATTTCTTCTGCCTAAGTGGAGTATCTTCCGTGCAGAGGAGCTTTGTTGTGCGTAGATGTCCTCCCAATTGAATCACCAGCATGTTCTTATGAGTGCCTTTTATTACCTACCCACTAAAAGTGGTACCTATTTATCTACTCACATTACTGTTTTTGATCTGCTAGATGGGCAGAAGCTGAGCTAATGGTGGGAACTCACCCCAACCCAGGCTTGAACTGCCAACCTTTCAATTGGCAAGATTTTCTACAGCTGGCGGTTTAACCCACTGTACTAAAGCCCAGACCTTTAGAGGAGCTGTCTTATGTATTGAAACTATTTGGAGATACGATTTAGCACCTTGGATAGCTCCAGACTAAACCCAGAGTAGGTACATTTCCTAACTGGTTCTATCATAAAAACATGGGAAAAGTTTATTAAACTACAAATACCTTGTTTTTGTGGGACATTCTGCAGCACATTTTTCTACTTTCAAAGTAAGTAGCTCACAATTAGAGAGGAAATAACACTTTCAAACCAGGAACAGAAAATTATTCAAATTTTGTTACATAGTGTTATCCAAGGTAAACTCATCAGTATTTCAAAAAACAAAAAACTCAACCTTCTAATGTGTGCACTTTCCAGATTATTTGCCTTTAATAACAGCAGACTTCAAACTAATATATTCTATATTCAAACACTTCTTTATTCAAATAACCCTAATATATAGATGACTAGATCGGTAAGACAGAAAGACAGGTAGCTTCATACCGTCTATTCATCTTCTACCCAGTCAGATGTCTCACTGGTCGCTTTTGGGACTCAACCTACTCTGAAGCTATCCAAGGTGCTGAACCCTATCTCCAAATAGTTTCAATATGTAAAACGGCTCCTCAAAATTTCTAAATGCAGAGTTGATTCACCACCCTACCTTTTTGATATCAAAGCTATCAGACTCCACTGGATATTGTTGTTTACCAATGAATATAAAACATCAGCAAAACATACAAGGTGGGAATATATTATAACTGAGGTGCATGATGAAACGAAATGCAAAGATACAGAATATGGGACGAATGGCTTGAGAGAAGTACATGTGAAAAAGATCTTGGAGTCCTCATGGACAACAAGTTAACATCTACATGAAACCGCTGGGAGAGGTCATCCGGAGTTTTGGAGTCGGGTGCCATCTTTACGCAGATGACACACAACTCTACTACTCATTTCCACCTAATTCCAAGGAGGACCCTCGAGTGCTGGATGAGTGCCTGGCCACTGTGGCTATCTGGATGAGGAAGAACAAGCTGAAGATCAATCCTGACAAGACAGAGGTCCTCCTGGTCGATCGTAAACCGGACCGGGGTATAGGGTGGCTACCTGTGTTGGACGGGGTTACACTCCCCCTGAAGCCACAGGTCCGTAGCTTGGGTGTCCTCCTGGATTCATCGCTCACGCTTGAGGCTCAGGCGTCCGCGGTGTCCGGGAGGGCTTTTGCACAACTGAGACTTGTGCGCCAGCTGCGTCCGTACCTCGCGAAGGCTGATCTGGTCGGGGTGGTCCATGCCTTGGTCACCTCTAGACTGGATTACTGCAACACGCTCTACGTGGGGCTGCCCTTGAAAATGGCTCGGAAATTCCAACTGGTCCAACGGGCAGCAGCCAGGATGTTAACTGGGGCTCATTACAGAGAGAGGTCAACCCTCCTGTTTAAGGAGCTCCACTGGCTGCCGTTTATTTTCCGAGCCCAATTTAAGGTGCAGGTGCTTACCTACAAAGCCCTGAACGGTTTGGGACCACCCTACCTGCGTGACCGTATCGCTGTCTACGAACTCACACGCTCACTCCGGTCATCTGGAGAGGCCCTGCTCGTGGTCCCGCCCGCGTCGCAAGCGCACTTGGTGGGGACACGGGATAGGGCCTTTTCTGTGGTGGCCCCCCGACTCTGGAACGCCCTCCCGAAAAATCTCAGACAAGCCCCTACATTGGCAGTCTTCAGAAAGGAATTAAAAACCTGGCTGTTCCAATGTGCCTTTTCAGATTAGGAACCTCCAGCACCAAATCCTAGAAGCACTTTAGTAGAACCAAGATCACTGCACACTGCACACTGCACTTATATTTACCCTACATCCCTCCTGCCACACCAGCACTTTTTAACCCAGTACCCCTACTCCGGCCGGCCCAGTTTTAATAGTGTCTTGTTGTATTGTTTACTATTATTGTTTTCTGCTTAACTGTTTTTAATTTGCTTTGGGTATTGTATTGTTGTATTGTGTTTGGGGCTTTGGCCTGTGTAAGCCGCATCGAATCCCTTGGGGAGATGCTAGCGGGGTACAAATAAAGTTATAATAATAATAATAATAATTAAACAGGAGCCACCAATGTGATGTGGCGGCAAAAAAAGCCAATGGGATTTTGGCCTGCATTAATAGGAGCATAGTGTCTAGATCTAGGGAAGTAATGCTATCCCTCTATTCTGCTTTGGTTAGACCACACCTGGAATATTGTGTCCAATTCTGGGCACTACAAT